CTACTGGGGAGACAAAGGCGGTCGGGCGTGGTGCTGGCCATCTGTCCCCTCGTGTACCGTTTCGGCCTTCATGGGTGTTCGCTAACGGCACTTGCCCCAACCGTTTGTTCAGGCTATACGGGGGATCTTTGTCTTTGTGTGTGTGTGCGGTGAGACACGTGTGGAGACAAAGTCGTTCTGTCATTCAAACCAAAAAAAACACACACAGCAGGCGCGGCGTAATATATTTGACGGACAAAAATCGGTGACCGCCTTCGTAACATTGGTTAGCCTTTGCCAATTACCGTCGCCTTCAACCGACATCCCTAATGGGAACAGAAACATTCCTTCCCATTTTTTTTTGGAGCGGGGATTTTGTTTTGTGATCTGGAGCCGCTTCTCCTAAAAGGATTCTTTCTCTCGCCGTTGTGGTTTTTTTTTTCTGGAGAGCTCTCAATGTGATGTGCTCCACTCTCGGGGTGAGGGAGGCCTTTTTGTTTTTCACCAGGACCAAAGATTCGCTCCGAAAGATCTCCGCTCTCTCTCTCCTATTCAGATGTTTTTTTCTTTCCCTCAAGCATTCCGCCAGCACGGGCGGCGAAGGGGGTGATGTCATGGTCTGCAGGACGTCACGTTTCTTCAGGCATGGCTGGATTCTAAAATATTATGCCCATGTTTGGGTGACATCTCTTCGGCGCGGCAGGACGCGGTGTTCAAGGGGGGGGGGGGGGTAGCGAGCGGTGGAAAGTCGCCCACCTTATGACATCGCCGCGCTCCACCAGCTACAAAGGCAACTACAAAGATCCCCCACATAGCCTTTCATAGACTGACAGGGCAAGTGCTGTTTGCGAGCACCGATGAAGGCCGGCACGGCACACGAGGGGATGGGTGGCCAACACCACGCCCGGCCGCCTTTGATGATGTTTCCGCACCGAGTACTCATCTGAGGCTGAGTCGACCTCGGTGAGGCCCAGGAGCGGTTCAGATATAATCGACACTGATGCTGTCCGTGAGCGGGCATCGAACTCGGGTCGCCGGGTTCGCAGCGCATCGCGGCTCACCGCTGCGCTGCCGCACACTACCGCACCACCAGCCACGCGCGTGCACGCGTGCGCGTGTGCCACTTCTGTTCCCCGCCCCCCCCCCCCCTTGCACTCAGCCCGAGCACAACTAAACAACGTCGGGGTGGGGTTGGCGGATCACGCGGAGATGGAAGCACGATGAGCGCTCCCGCCTGCCGGGCGACAAGGTGCTGACGGTGCAGAAAGGAAGTTTTCCGCGATGCGACATCGGCAGAGTCGATACGCTACCGCTTTGCTGTACTCGATGGGTTTATCCAACACTCGGGTTTATTCCCACGTACGAAAATAACAAAATAATGTAAATATAGAAATTGGCCAAACTTCTCGAAAAAAGTATTTTTAAGACACTAAGGCTTTTCTGAGAAATATGTTGCTACATTGTGGTCTTGTGGCAGCCGGGTAGCTCAGAGGTTCAGAGGGCTGAGCTGGCACCGTTGAGATCCTGGGTTTGAGTCCAGGTTTGAGCCCCCTGTCGTTACCCTCGCTGCTCACGTGGTAGTCAGTTGACAGTCTCAGCCGGGTCACCTATGACCGGATAAAAGCAAGAACCCCCCCCCCCCCCATCACATTTAATTTGGTTCGGCACTTTCATTTCACTGAATTCCATCTCTGAAAATGAATGCGCGGTTTGACGGTCACGCGATGAGCATCACTCTCATTGGCAGGGTGGGGAGGAAATTGCTGCGCCCGATTGTTTCAAACGGAGGCCACTTGAAGGAATCTCTTATGCACCTCTGTAACATCCACTGATGTGGGTCTTGCTCTTTTTAGCACGAAGGGTCGAAATGCCCCGAGATCCGAATCGATACTTTGTTTAATGACATTCCGCTGATGGCACAATCAGAATTACATTAAAGGCAAAGTGTTGTTGTTTTTACTATGTAGCGCCACGTTTGTTACTCAACTATAAAAATATTTTTTATTTTGCCAGGTAAGGCGCACTGAGCTATGTAGCTCTTTTTCAGAAGCGACCTGGCCATAAATGATAGCTCAACGAAGTGGCTTATCGCGTGGAAATGTATAGCAGCCAAATACTCTGAACGCGTGTTTATAAATGTGGAGGGGGAAACCGGAGGACCCGGAGAACAATCCACGCGACCACGGGGAGAGAGACACGCAAACTCCAAATATACAGCATCAGGCGTCAGGGTCGTTATCGGACCCACGACCCCCTGCAGACGAGGCGAGGGAGCTGACATCTCGCCACCGCGGCGCTGTACAGCTCGCACGGCCTCTCGCAGCAGAGATAATGAATGCGAGACAAAATCGACGCCGGGCGTCGACCCATCCCACGACCGCTCTGTGGTCGATGAAATAGATGCAACATCACTTTGGGGGACGTCAAACAGCGACTGTGCCGCGTGGAGATTGGTCCCTGCCATGGGAAATTACCAATTTCACGACTGGCCCAAGCACTGCCCTCTTCACGAACCTCACATCTAACCGGCTAAGGGCTTTCTCCACCTAAAATTAAATATTCTGACTTCCCTGTCAACTTTGTACATCTGCAGGAAGAGAGGTTGCAAACGTTTTATCTCGCTGTCACCTATCTTGTTATTCTACAAAAAAACTTGGACACAGAGAGAGAAAAAGCATCGTGATGAAGTTCCTCCCTCGATCTCACCTGTGCGATGACATCAGCTGCCTATGGTCGAGGGTGTCGGTTGTAAACTCTGGTTTGGCAGTGCCCTCTGTTGGCTGATTCATCCGTTCAAAAAACCTGAACGGACGACAACGGTGGTCTGTCTCGTTCAGTGCATGGCAAACGAACGCGCGGATTTGAAGTTGAAAATGATGTCAGATAATGAACATAGACAGCGATCGTTTGACATTGTAGAAGACTAACTGATGAAGGATATGTGGATCTGGTAGAGTGAATTGGGGTGGCTCATGTCGAACAAGCCAGCACCGTCGATACCTACCTCTCACTCGGGCACGTTTTGTATCGTGTTGAGAATTACGATGTTATTGAAGCTTATGTTTGAGTCTGCATGTGAGGTGACGTTTGGCGAATCCCCATCTCGCCGTGAAGTTCTCCAGCGCAGTGAATTCATGGTGCCCGCTCGATCACAAATGGCTACACACAGTGCCGGATTAAGCTAGTGCGGGGCCTGTAGCAGATGTTATAAAGGGGCCATAAAAAAACATAAATGTAAAAAAAATTACTTGCATAGCAAAGTAATTGTATTTTTTCATTTGCTATACTGACTAACACCCAGTCGTTCATAAAAGTTGAAGGTAGTATAGTACTATAGTAATAGAGCAAGTGCAGAATCACTGAACCCGAATTGATAGCTTGAAAGCATTTAGCGCGGGGCCCTTGAAAGTGCGGGGCCCGTAGCACGTGCAGCTACTGCATATGTAGCTGCTACAACATGTGTAGCTCAATTTGTGTTCGTGGCCACCAGGGCTGGGTTAAGGCAAGCGTTTATTTTGTGCGCCCAGTGCCGGATTATCACAGGATCACAAGTAGCTACTGCACATGTAGTAGCTACTACACGTGCAGTAGCTGCACATGTAGTAGCTACTACATGTGTAGCTACTTGTGATCCTGTGATAATCCGGCACTGGGCGCACAAATTAACGCTTGCCTTAACCCAGCTCTGGTGGCCACGAACACCAATTGAGTTAATCATTTCCTGCTCAAACGAGCAATGAGAGAGCTCATTTTAGTTGGCCAGTCCTGAGCCGGTGGTGGCAATTCCACGTTGACATGGCGGGGGCCAGTCTCACCAATAGGATGACCATTGTTGATTTGCGACATGGCGGTAACTCATTTTATTGACGCTGAAAGGGGTGATGGTCTGAGTTGACCCTCGACTGTGACTAGAACTTTAGAGATTGAATGACAATGCAGATTTGTGCAATGTCACTTCGGAGTTAAAACTTGAAATTAACGGCGATTGTTTTATAAATGTTTTGACGTGCCAATCCCAGGGCATTGATTTTTACACGCATCTTTTGTGCATGCATTGTGAGCTGAAGAATTGATGGCGTGAATACATGGATGCCATCGATACACAAATACACCCCTCATACCAATGCAGAATTCTTGTGAAAAAATACTTGAGGCTTTCCTGGATAGTGTGCAGTTCTAAATATTTGTTTTTGTTAGAATTATTGGCATGACCAGTAGGTGAAAACATGGCTCGGGTGGCCGCCAAGGGAGGGAAGGCACCCGCCACAGGTGCAGAGTGGAGTGTTACTTTCCAGGACCGTGAAAAGATAGTGAAGGCTTAGTGAGGCATTCATTAATCCAGCAGTTGATTCCTCGTAGCTGATGATAACAATCATTATTATAGGGGCGATAACATCCACTGTAAAATTAACTCCAGGCTTTCGTAATTCCTTCCGTAAACCAAAGTGGCTGTAGCGGGAATAGAACTGCTGACCTGGGTAAAAAAAAAACGCGTTGTGACCTCGGGCCAGCGCGCTGTCCGGTACACCACGTGTCGGGTCCATTCGATTCCAATTCGGCTGCGGTCTTGCTCGAACGATATGCGGTTATTTCACAGAACCGCCACTCATTGTATCGCAGCAAACAGTGGGCACAGAAACAAACCCGTGAACATTGACTCGTAAACAAACAATAATCCTCATGCCCCCCCCCCACCCCATGTATGTATTTGAATGCATACCACGTGTTTGTCTTTGTGTCTTTGGCAGCGGTAGAGTGGCTTGCGACCCGAGTTTCAGCTCTGGCTTTGCACATCAGGGGACTGTGGTATATATATAATTACAAGACAGTCCAGATTAGCAGACGAGTCTGATGGGATGTTGACTTCTCTCAGACAACAGACTGGCAGACTCGGCTGGGGGTCTGTAGTCAGACTAAATTAAAAACATGAATGCAAACAACTGTGATAGTTGAGATGAAATTCAGATGAAATGCAGATATATTTCTGATCAGTTTTTGTAAATAAAAAAACATCACAGCAATTGCACATGACTGTAGTATTTTATTGCCTTGTTAATCATCACATCTGAAATTAATGCTGTAATATTGCATGAACAAAATCAATCATTTAGTAAAGCGATACCGATTTAAAAGTTGTTTATGGTGACATAGGGCAATGCAATATTCTGCACCTAATCTAGGAATATTTGTGTTATCGTCCGGCATCTCTATAAAAAAAATTGTCCGTCCATCCGTCATGCTCTGTATCTCTGAAACGGTTCGTCAGAGTAAATCACGCATCAAGCCAAAAATGCTTCTCTTGCCGAGGACATTTACGGACAATTGCTGTCTTCCCTAATTAAAAACATTTGGCACCCAAGTTTTTGAAAAAATAATTCCAACAAACCAATGGGAGCCGGAATCTTCCAGAAGAGTGAGTCGCATTTCATTGCAAAAGTCTACCGGTTAAAATCGGTTCCCCCATTGATTTATATTTAATGCATAGAGCGCCATCAATTCCATGGTGCTCTAAGGCTCTTATTGAATGGTACGCTGGAACACGGAGTGCCTTGCACGGGTGGTGCTCAGCCAATGAGTGTGTGCGTTGCGTCCATGGAGAGTTCATAGTCACGTGTGGCGCCTCCGGTTGGCTGGATTTTGACACGTCCACGAAAACGCTCAACGAGGCAGCTCCTCAGACCGTGCTCTGCCTTGCTACGGCGATGCGCTCTGGCCTGCTAACCACAACGTTCAATGGTAAAGCCCTCCGGAGCACTCTGCACATTGACCGCGCCTCCGACGTTTAGGCAAGACCTCATCGCCCCTTGAGCCGAGCTTATGATTCTAGATTTGAAGCTTTCGTGACTGCAAGGATTCCTACTCTTAGGTTTTTTCGGTAAAGTCACGTAGGTAAAAAATATAATTAATAGAAACAAACATAAAAGTAATAGAAACAAAAAAAACATTTTATTGTTTCTATTAAATTAATTTTATCTGCAGAACGTGAATAAAATTAATAGAAACAAAATAATAAATATTTTATTTTGTTTCTATTCATTTTATTTTTTACCAACGTGACTTTACCGAAAAAACCTAAGAGTACCAAGCCTATGACTTCACCACGGTGATGTCACGTGATTGGGCTGAATGGTGACGTCATCGCACTTTACGCCGACTACCCACGCAACTCGTGCGGTGGTGACGTCACCACCACCCCGCTCATCTGCACGATGACATTAACCACATCTCGCAGCACAGAAGCCAGGTTCACGCACTCTGACGTCATGCTCCCCTCTATCACCCGCCACCCCGGGCGTGCATTCCATGCAAACATACGGGCAGTGCGAGGTCAGAGACTCCTCTACTTACGAACATTCGACTTACGAACTTTCAGAGATACGAACCTGTCCGTATGTCCAGTTGGCTGTTTGGACCGAGAGTCGTAAGTTCAACCGCCGCGCAATAGATGGCGGTGGTGCCATCTACACCTGCAGAACGTGAAGAACCAGTGGCATCTACACCTGCAGAACGTGAAGAACCAGTGGCATCTACATCTGCAACACGTGAAGAACCAGTGGCATCTACATCTGCAGAACGTGAAGAACCAGTGGCATCTACAGCTGCAGAACGTGAAGAACCAGTGGCATCTACATCTGCAGAACGTGAAGAACCAGTGGCATCTACATCTGCATAACGTGAAGAACTAGTGGCATCTACATCTGCAGAACGTGTAGAACCAGTGGCATCTACATCTGCAGAACATGACGAACCAGTGGCATTTACATCTGCAGAACATGAAGAACCAGTGGCATCTACATCTACAGAACATGAAGAACCAGTGGCATCTACATCTACAGAACATGATGAACCAGTGGCATCTACATCTGCAGAACATGAAGAACCAGTGGAATCTACATCTGTAGAACGTGAAAAACCAGTGGCATCTACATCTGCAGAACGTGTAGAACCAGTGGCATCTACATCTGCAGAACATGAAGGACCAGTGGCATCTACATCTGCAGAACGTGAAAAACCAGTGGCATCTACATCTGTAGAACGTGAAGAACCAGTGGCATCTACATCTGCAGAACATGAAGGACCAGTGGCATCTACATCTGCAGAACGTGAAAAACCAGTGGCATCTACATCTGTAGAACGTGAAGAACCAGTGGCATCTACATCTGCAGAACGTGTAGAACCAGTGGCATCTACATCTGCAGAACGTGAAGAACCAGTGGCATCTACATCTGCAGAACATGAAGGACCAGTGGCATCTACATCTGCAGAACGTGAAAAACCAGTGGCATCTACATCTGCAGAACGTGAAAAACCAGTGGCATCTACATCTACACTAGACAATACAACTTTTAAAGCCATCCCCCGTGTTTAGTGTACACGCCGTACATGGTTGGAATCGACTTACGAACAAATCGACTTACGAACAGACCCAAGCTGTTCGTAAGTAGAGGAGTCCCTGTACAGGAACCCCCCGCGACACGTCAGAGATGCGGTTCCTAAGAAATGCTCCTTAAACTCGAATTGACTCGCAGCAAACTCTCATTTCCCACAGACTTGTTAACAAAAAGGGGTTACATTCATTCTGGCCAATAATCGATACGTATAATTCGATACAATTTACCAGCGATGATTGAAGAGTTTTCTGATCGAGGCCTCTTGGGGTGGAGAGGGAGTGGAATTATTATGCAGAAGAAAGCCACGCCTTCTTGAAATATCGACTGCCTTTCACCTGCTTTAAAACGCTTCGAAGCTTCTAATTTAACCTCTAGATTCATACTTTGCCTTCTCTTGCCAGAGACACTTATCATCATTTACTGTGCATTTTGCAATGATCTTTCCAAGCCTTTTGCACTTATTTTAAGACTATCATCTCGCGCACGGGTCGGCGGCAACCTGCGGCTCAGGCGCCGCGTGCCGTGCCTCTTGAAGGACTGCTGCTCCGTGCCGTCATTTATTTAAGGGACCCACCGTCTCGTATTCACGTTGCATTGCCAAAAGAAATGTCTCTTCTTCTTCACTTGGTTGCCGACCCCCTGACCTAACGCTACGCAGTATTTCTACCGCGCACGTGCACAGCGGTCACGCGAAACGGCGGGCTGGTAGACGGAAGCCGATCACGGGCCGGAGGGGATTTCGGTGGTCGGCACCGCGCGTGTACAGTACGGTAGAGCTATTACATCGTAAATCAGTCCCGTTCTCGCCCGCACGCGTTCCTCGTTGACAAAAAAAAATAGCACGAAAAATGTTGCGCAATTTTCTGAAAAAAAGAACGCATACGCAAAACGTTAACACTCATAGGGCAATACGTTCCCTAATTAATAGGCAACATGCACGTGAAACAACGCATCACGTGGCCACTTACAGCGGGGGATTCTTGTAACCTTTACAAAGCTTCCACAAAGAGGTCAATTGCTCCCTCTCTTCTGGTGCCCTCACTGCCTTTCGCCCACGTGGTGTGCGACTGAAATTCCTACGACAGCCCCCGTGTATTGCTACAGTCCCAACATCGGAATCAGTTCATCACACGGCTCATGGTTACAAGGTTGAGAGGGAGAGGTGGGAGAGCACGTGATTGTAAAAGAGTGAGATGTGAGGTCAGAAATTGCATGGGGAGGAGTCGAGTGAGAGGAGAGAAGTAGGCAGTGGTGAGTGTCCATGGAGGGCCACGAATACGGTGACACTGACATGAAATCGGGTTTACATTGGCAGCCAGTGGAGAGACTGGAGTTTCGGTGCGATTTGTCTCATTTACAGGTGTGGGTAACAATTCTGGCAGTGGCAATTGAAAGTATTTTGCTGCTGAAAATTCGCACTTGATAAGCCACTTCGTTACGATATCACTTGTGGCCAGGTTGCTTCTGAAAAGAGCGATACAGCTCGGTGGGCTTTACCTGGCAAGATAAAAAATAATTCATAGTTTTATTTGCATATTTTTGTTAAAGTAATTTATTTACCTTTCCCTATATTTTGCACCATCGTGTTTTTGTGTTGTTTGTTGTTGTAACGTTCTGACCTGCCCCTACTGGACATCTGTGAACAAGAGCTTTATAGCTCATCGGATTCCTCCTGCAGTGTCAATACAGATTCAGATTCTGATGATGAGGCGTACACGAGTTTTTGGAAAAATTTTTCTGGAGGAAGTTTTCGAACCGATCCGAGACGACAGAATGCGAGAGTGGACAGCGAAGTTGGGTTTGTGTCGTCCATGGGGACATCCAGTTGAGAGTCATCAGCAAGGAAATTGTGGTGGACATTACGAGGGAACATTTTTGGCAAGGGCGATGAGAAATATTCAGAGCATGTAAAATGCTTACTTGGCACGGATTATTCGAAGTGCATAAGTTGATGATCATGTTATATTAAGAGATTCCCAGTTTCTTCCGTATTCACATCTATTCAAAAAGCCAGAAATTAATTGTGGAGTTGCGCTCACATAGTGCTGCTCCTGGCTCAAACCACTCGTCCCTTTAACCGCCGTGCAGCATGACCATCGCCAATCGCTGGGCTAGTTGTCCTAGAGGAGCTATGACAAAAGCAGTAATTAGCGGGGACAAACAATCGGGTTATTTGTGGACGCAGCAGTCGCTAAACTGATTCGGGCATCTGCTCAGATAGCAGTGCCAAGCCCGAATGATGTCGCCGCGTGCGGGCGGGCGGGTGGGTGGGGGGGCGTGCGGGCGGGCGGCGGCGACGACGCGAGAGCGGCAGCGACGAGGCTAGAGCGGCAGCGTGAGCTCGGCGTGCATCGGCTCTCCCCTGAGTCCGGCCAGAAGGTTCTCCGCGGTCATCACGGCCATCTTGCTCCGCGTGTCGGTCGTGGCGCTCCCAATGTGCGGCATGATCACTGCAGGAGTCAGAGTTTCAAATCGGGATTAGGGCACTACAGGGGTCAGAGTTGAAATCGGGATCAGCACACATAATGGCGGCTCCCACATGACCCAGTCGAACACACTGTGGCATTTCTAGGCTATGGAGAATAGTAGCTTGTTTATAATTTATAGCCATTCGTTAATCCATTGCTAAATGAAGGACATCCTCTGCTATGTCAGTGATGGGGGTTGTTTGACCATACTTTTCCCATGCTCGTCAGTGCTGGTGGGTAAATAAGCAAGGGAGGCTCCCGGGGGAGATGCAGGACCAGTTCAGATATCACCCGCCACTGATGTTAGCCATGGCCACAAATCGACCTCAAGTCGCCGGGTTCATCGCGTAGTGCGGCCGCCGCTGCGCCAGTGTGTGCTTGAGCGTGTGTGCACACACACATGCAAGCGTTGTTATTATCGACATTCGACGCTCTACATCACTGTTTATTTTCTCAATGCGCGGACCAAAACTGCCTCGCTCTCCAATTAGTGATGAGCGCCGCGGCGGTGTAGCCAGCATTTATAAAGAAGGGGCAAAAACATGTGAGGCTCGTGTTGGCACTGGGGTAATGCCAGGGACATTCTGTCTCACGAAGAGTGGGCTGTACTCGGGGAGATTTTAGGGGTGGGACCCCATGGCCAAATTTGGGGTCATGAAGACCTCCCTATTGGGTAGTGGGTGGCTACGCGTGGGTGGCTACGCGTGGGTGGCTACGTGTGTACGTGCGCACGCAAGTGCGGGATGCGCCCATCGCTACACTTGTCTGGCAATCCCCTGGAGAGTTCATCTTGTACTCAATAAAGTCAAAAAGCATTTCACTGTGAGCGAGTGCCCTGGGCACAAGTCAAACCTCAAAGCGTCTCCGTGCTCTCAGATGAGTATTTGTGCGGTGCTCATCTCCATTGGCAGCCCTGAGCCAGCGGTGGAAATTCCACATTACTTGAGCGGAGGCCACTTGCAGTTTTAAGAGCATCGCGACTTTGTCACATCATTCAATTTTACCCACCCAAGTTGAATCAATGCATGACTGGGATTTGAACCTTGCAACCTTCTTCCCACTGTGAGCAAAGCATCCTGCTGCAGCACTACTTGGCCAGATACATCGATTACCAATCAAATGTTAAAGTGTCTCCATGGCTGCACTGAGCAATTTCATGTTCCTGAGCGGTGCTCCCTTGACACCACGACACAATACCCTTTGACTCATACAGTGCCCAAGTGCGACCGCACCTCGAGAAGCAAATACAGAGACATTGGGCAGAGTCAGTTTACAGGTTGAGGCGGTCCGTCATGGGCAGAGGGACACACAGGAAGGGATCTTGAGGCTCGACTGGAACAGGGGCAGGGTGTTGACAGCACGGACGGCGGGGTGAGGGGAGTTCCAGCAATGGCGACAGTGCAGGAGATTGAGCGACCTTCCTCCGAGCGGAGCGTGACCAGGGCGGGGCTCAGACAGCAAGCGACGGCTGCTCGAGCGGGAGAGTGGACAGAGTAAGGCGAGATGGATGGATGTTTGTATGTTGAACTTCGTTCGGAACAGTACGTAGCCAGACCGTGCTAACCTGAGGTGCGGGTGGAAGGGTAATAAACTAAACACAAAAAGCAGAGATGAGAGGGCAGGGGTCAGAAGTAGGCAGGGGAGGCTCCAGATGGATGAGGCGCTACGGACTCCCAATCGGAATCTGGAACTTGCAACCCGGTGCTGAGTCGGGTGCTACCTGGCCAGATCCTCGAAAAATTTACTTGGGAATTAAAAAGTTCACTGGGCAGCTAAGAAGGGGGGGGGGGGGGGGGGGAGGGGTGCGCTTGGCAGGACGCGGCTGAAAAAAAAATTCCTGAGACTCCTTGAGGCCTTCCAGATAAACGAGTGGAAACAAACAAACAAACAAACAAACAAATAAATAAATAACTAACATTAAGCACCGAGCTAATCCTGCTCGGGTCGTGCATGTTCTCAATTGAGACAAAACTTCACAGCGCTTCGCAATTCCAATGCTCGATGAAGAAGCCCTCCTGCACGCTGTGTCAGTCCTGGTCGCTGTTGGACCAAACTTCACCGCGTTGGTCACAGTGCGGTTTGATGGAGGGGCAGAGGCTCAGGACCCGTGGAGACATCACTCACCAGCGATGTTAGACGTGGCTGGGGTTCAACCTCGGAGAGCAGTGGGTTTCATTGCGCAGCGTGCTAACCACTATACCACTGCTTCACCCAGAGTAGGCCATAGTCCAATAGTCAAGCAGTCTCACCCTTCCAGAATATTATTACAAGATTAATCAAGAGAGATGTGGCCACAGCATAAAAAAAAACACAATGGCCCTAAAATTCAAAACAAAAATATATATGTATGTAGATATGTTATGTTTAGGCCGTTATAGTGGACAGGTGGAACGCCGTACCACAGTTGCGGAGGCTAAGAAGAGGGTGGTCGGTGGGCAGGGGCTCCGGCGTGGTTACGTCCAGCCCGGCCGCCGCGATCTCCCCCGACCTCAGGGCATCGTAAAGGTCATCTTGGTTCACGATGAGGCCCCTGGGGCAGACGAACAAAAACAAAAAAACTTTCCGCGGGAGCCAGAGCGGGGAAAAAACCAAGCACACGTGTTGGAAATATCAAAATTCCTCAGCCATTTTTTTAAAGGGCTAAGTTAATTAGAAACAAAAACGCAAGGGGAGGATGCCTTTAATGGTGCAAATTGTACGTGCACGATCATCATCAGCATGATCAATCCCCTGCTGTATGAAGGGCTCCGCAAGTCTTAGCCATCTCTCCCCATCCTGCGGTGTAATATGCACAGTTAAAACAATGACATCAATAGAGATTTGAAAGTGGCCTCTGTATCTAGAGCATAGCACTCACTCGTGTTTAAGCCTGGCCGGGTGGCGCTGTGGTCAAAGTACTTGACTGCAAGTTCAAATCCCGGTCTGTGGTCGACTCGATCATCATCCATCCGCGGCCAAAAAAAAAAAATGTACCACTTGGTAATGGGCATTGACAGCGGTTGCCTTAACGGACACTGGCTGCCTCCAACCACAGGAATGAGGAATTTACACCACTGGCTCAGCATTGCCAACAGGAGACAAGAATTGCCCTATGGTTGTTTGTGCAGAGAGAGGCTTTGGGTTTCTTGTTGTGTCTAATGGAGAAACTAGGTAATGAATAGGGAGCCAGTATTACAAGTAGTCTTTCGCAACCAATATCATCCATATTACAGGTTTTTTGGGTTAGATGTCGTAGTCAGATTGTAAATGTTGTGACTTTGCTCTCCAACACAACAGTGTGCTGTACTTGTACCAAATTGGCCACGTTCTGTTTACGTGACAAACCTTACTAGTTGGCTGTGTCGGGTAGTGGCGGGTTTAATGACACAGTTATATATTTAAGCGGGCTAACCCAATCAGCAGCCATAAAAATTATGTTTGAATCGGGGGGGGGGGGGGGGGGAAACTCGAATGCACGCAGTAAGAATATTCACCGATGAATCATAAAACAAATAACTAAATTGCCACAACTGCCTTAAAACTTGTGCGGGGAATTATCAAAGTACATTTTTGGCTGCATAACAATGGAATGTGAAAGACCATTTTACGTCAAAAAGATCCCCCCTTTCGTGCAATAAGTGCGTGGTAAAAACTGTTAAAATAGGGAATGGCATGCACATGCATGGTTTCTGTAATGTTTTCCAACGTGTTTGTCCTCGAAAATATTCAGCCGTTTCTCGTAACGTCACGTTTCACGCTGCACAATGACGACATCAAACTGCGCACGACGCGGCGAGATGACGCCACGCGTCACGTGATGTCTTTTCTTTCGGCACTGGATTTGCGGCTCCTTTTTAGCGCCGGCGTTCATTTTCATGTTTTTGGGCGACACAGCTCAATTTGGCCGGTTTTTTTAGCGGGAAAGTGCCTAATGGCAACACGACTTTGCACTCAGGTTTCGTGCTTATCGGATCATCGCTCCAATACAAATTGGCACGCACGGTTGGCTACGTACGGTGCGAACGAAAGCCAATGGACATACATCGTTACGAGCGTCATCGTGCCCGCCTGTTACAATCAAGGACAGATGCCACGAACGCTTTCAACCTCGGTCGAAAAGCCTCCCGAAAACTGTCTCGAAGGTTAATCAGGAGGCAGTGGAGGAAGTTACCGGCTGATGTTGATGAACACGGCGGAGCGTTTCATGCGGGCGAACGCTTCGCGGCCGAAGAGCCCCCGCGTGGCGTCCGTGAGCGCGCAGCTCACCACCACGAAGTCGGCCTCCCGCAGCAGCTCCTGCAGCGGCACTGCGCGTGGCGGCAACGTCGGCACGTCCGGCAACAAGGAAAATAATCAAGGCCCGTCAGACGCAAACTAAAGTCACCCAGCAGGGCGGAGGTGCTGTGGTTAAAGCAATGCGAGCGCACATCTTGATCACGTGTCGGCCTATGACCACTTTATAGCGTCATAAGAATTTACATTTGTCAAACCACTGCTGGATGTATGTTAGTTGAACTTCTTTCGCACCGTACGTAACCAATCGTGCTAATTCGAGGTGCGAGGGAAGGACAACAAACTAAATAGAAAAATCAGTTTTAAATGAGTTTTCAATCGAGATTTAAAAGTGCATAGCTCCAGTGGCTTCCCAATATCGGGTGAAGGCCTCCCCGCATGCAGCATCGATCACTGCAGATGTTGGAAGGGGCGGCCCAAGCTTGGTGAAGCAATCACTCGTCATTGGTGTTGCCATGAGCGGGAATCGAACTCGGGACGCTGGCTTAATATAGAAGTGCACAAACCACTGCACCACCGCTTCTTCCGTTTACTGCTCTGGGGTTGAAGACAATTATAAACGACCTTGTGGGAAGTTAACAGTGGTCACATTACAGAGGGACTAGCATCCAACCAGGGGCATGTGGATTCTACATCACTGGCTAAGGGCCTCCAAGGAAAATGGGTAGAAGCCCTCATTGCTCATTGGAATATCGAGGACACTGACTTTGAGATGCACAAGAGGAAAGGCAGCACGAACTACAAATCGGGAACACCGGTCAAGTAGCGGTGTGATTGAAAGCCCCGATTTTAAACCCGAATGTATCCGTGCACGACAATCACAGCAGCAGGTATCGGGAAACCAGGGCTGCGAGTGAAAACGCAGCTGGCGTGTTCGCCAACGTTGCAAACTCTCAAAGCATTTCCTGCACGTGGAGATTGAACTGACCCCAGCTTAATCAGTTTCCAACCCTGAAGAAAAGAAAAAAAGGGAGCATGCCGAGTAATATTCGGGCGGTCGTATTGCAGCTCTCAGAGAGTGGGGGGGGGGGGGGGGGGAAGGATCTCAAACGGAAGGCTGCATATTCAAAGGAAATAATTAAGCCTATTTTGGGGTTGTGGCGTCAGTTGCCGTGCCATTAGGCAAAAGCTACCTGTCTTTCTACTGCCCCGTGATTAAAGGTCAGACCGGTGCGTTGAGTGAAGCAAGGTCTCCCCCCCCCCCCCCTCCTTGGCGTCATCTTAATTGGCCTGAACCGTAGCCGGTCATTAAATCTATTAGCGATCGCACATCGAGCCAAACACACATTCCTTGTGGATCAGATGACCCGCAGTACAGCTCGGAGATTCATAATTAAGCACTACCCTTTAAAGAGTGGAAGCACAGTAGGAAACTGAGATTGTTGAAATGTATGTTTTAAGATGTAACTTAACATGTTTGAATTGTACTTATGTTCGTTTGCATTTAAGCACTAGCCACTTCTGCAGTTTGCAGGCATTTCTGTCTGCACTTGGAAATAAATCAGTATGGCTCTGAACAAATGAGCAACAGCTCATCTCCCATGTGCAGCCCTGAGCCACTGTCGAAAATTCCACTTCTCACGAACTGTAATGATCCAGATATCATAATAATCATAATGATGGCCCGAGTCGATCCTTGACCGGGATTTGAACTTGCATCTTTTCCGCTCGTTCGTCAAACACTCTAACCGCAGCGCCATCCAGCCAGCTTACGTTAGTGCAGCTTCACGTTAACTTGCTTCCCAGATGGCCAATACACCACTCGATTGTTTATTAAGAAAAACTTCTAACTTTTTACCTTTGTAGTGGAACTGAGTAACAGTTGGCGATTAATTGTTTTAAGCTCTTGGCCCGGGAATAAGAACCCACATCCGCCTTGAGAAAGCCAGGCAGATGCTCTTCTAACCGCGAGGCAACGAAGCTCATTAGGCCCCTCTCATCTCGCACGGCTGCAAAATTGCTCCATTCCATCTTCGGCCCGCTTCCACAGGAAATCTCTTGGCAGGACGCGGAGTCACACAATTGCGCATGCCACTGTTCCCCTCTCCGCCACAGGCGGTGGAGAAAGTTGCCAGGACTTTAATCCACTTGGTGCCACACAGCTCTGCGCTCAGCTCTCGCAGGGTACGGCGGATTTTCTGCAAACGCCGTCGCGACGTAATGCCGCTTCCCTGTGAATGCTTCGGCACTGTGAATAAACTGACGTGCTGTGTCGTCTCTCAGGTGAGTGGCATCTGAACGTGATGAGGTCGGTCCATATGCTGGGGCAATAACAGCTCGACATCTGACGATTTTGCTTCACATGCCTGGAGCTCCTTTACAAACTGAATTTATACGGTATGACCCACAAACACATCGGAGGGCTACACAGCACAACCGCGAAAGCCTAAAATATAAAAAAGAAAAATTACCGGGATAAGGCGCACTGAGCTATATAGTTCTTTTTCAGACACTACCTGGCCACAAATAATAGCTGAACGAAGTGGCTTATCAAGTGGAATTTTATAGCAGCCACATACTCTAAACGCACGTTTCTAAATGTGGAAGGGAAAACCGAAGGACCCGGAGAAAAGTCCACACGACCACGGAGAGAGACACGCAATCTCCAAATATACGGCAGGCGTCAGAGTTGAGATCGAACCCACGACCTCCTGCATACCGGGCAAAGTAGTTAACATCTCGCCATTACGGCGCTACTACGTGCGTGGTAGCAGTCCCAACTTCTGCATCGATGTCCGTGGATTTGCGGCTAGCTGGGCCACTTTGTAATTGTGGCCGGCTGCGACGTATTATAACTGCAATCCGGAAATGAATGTTTGATCCTCACAGAACTGAGCGCCCAGCCTCTGCTCCACGTCCGGCTTTGGGTTGCGTCCCGTGTACAGCACTCGCCGCACGCCGAACGGCTTGAGACGCTCGCACACCGCCACCCCTGGGACGACGCGGGGGGGGGGGGGGGGGGGGGGAGGGAGGGGGAGGGGAGACACGGGAGGGGGGTTTGCGATGTTCACGACGACGCACAAGGCAACAAATGGCCACCGGTGCCGCTCCGTTTGTGGGTTTAATCCGAGCCTCGTTCAATCCGAGCTTTCGAGGGTCAACAGCCAGCGTTGCGCATGGAAATACATTTAATGGCATGCAATTGATAAAAGTAATCGGCATAATTAAGAAGTGCAAACATACGGTCTGTTTAACGCGGGAGGAAACTGAAGTACACAAGAATTAACTGGTCATCGATCTTGACAACCTTGTGTCTGCAGAGAAAAATCTACCGTTCTATGCTGGGGGGCCAATATTCCCAAACTGCTGTTGACCTCCAATAAAAGTAACCCTCACTTTTGGAACATGGGCTGAGGTCCTTCCCCCGCACCTCCGATTAGCACGGTTGGTTACGGACAGTGCAAAAGAAGTTCAACATACATATACAACCTACTTCCTGCGCTGGAATCAGCAAGGCTCCCCTCCTAACACAGCAGGTGGGTGCCTCACGTGTAACAGCGATGACCTGAACTACCCTCCTAATCCACCAACCCCCCCTCCCCCTAAACCCCAATGCAGGTCAAAGTTGAGTGCCACCACGCGTGGATTTGGGGCCAAATTACAACCTTCATCTGGACCCAATAAACGGCAGGGCACGTGGGAAAGGGCACGGGGGGGGGGGGGGAAATGAAAGTCTTACCAATGCGGCCCAGCCCCACCACACCCACAGTGCTGCCACTCAGACCCTGGCCACACATCCACATGGGCTTCCACGTGCCCCATCCTCCACTGGGAAAAGGGGGTGGGAAGGGGGTGGCACGGGGGTGGGGGGTGCGGTGAAGGGGGGGGGACAGAAGGAGGATTGAGTTACGGAGTTACGTGCCACTGTGTGGGTCTTCACGGACGCACTGCTGTCCAGCCCTCCGCAGTATTCAAGGGGTCGTACTGACGCGCTATCTTTGGGCCCGGCCGCGATGCCCGGGCGTTTCGCTTGCATGCCGGCAAACATCGTCAGGAACCCGGGGGCGGGGGGGGGGAGTCGAGGCATTTTGCTCCCAAGCACGTGGAGTGAAACGTCGGACAACATGCCGAACAAAACGCGGCACGACCCGAGATCGCAGCGGAGAGCCGTAGGATTGAGTTACACCCCGCCACTGAGAGGGGCTGTGCCGCTGCCGCGTATTTATTTACACCGCCGCCACGGGGTTTAACTCGTCAAACATTCCGTTTCCACTAAGCGCTTTCAAAACGACCTTTCGCCGGCAAGACCGCTTCTGCGTTTGCTCCAGCGCTTATCTGTCAAAGTACTGTGCTTGTCGCGTGAGATTCATCGATATTACACCTACGTGACATATTGTCTTGCTCATAAATTAGCTATTACACTTGCACCTGTATTCAACAGGGTAGTAGTATTATTATAGCCCTGTTAGAGCAGGCAGCTCAAATCATGATTGGATTTTAAATCAAGATCAAGGGGTTGACTCAGCTCATCACCCTCGTGGGACTGATGTATTGGGTACCACTTTGTGACGAGTTAGCAGTGGTTTTCTTGTGAAGAGGCTGCCACCATTATGTATGTTGAACTTCTTTCACACCGTACATAGCCAACCGTGCTAATCGGAGGTGCAGAAGGACAACAAACTAAACACAAAAATCATCACTTTCGCTATCAGCCATGATCAATTTACTGCCAGATGAAGGCCTCCTCAATCTGACACCATTTTTCGCAGTCCTGCAATGGAACAATCCATATGGCTAATTTTATTGCTCCATCTCCGTGGTTAAGAGCATGTTCCCTCCTACTGCACATCTGTGAAAAAGAGCTTTATAGCTCATCGGATTCCTCCAGTATAAATATTCTAATTCGGATTCGTTGGCTGCCACTCTTTCATTCGTCTCGACCATCGACCATCATCCCTGCTATTGAAGTGCCGAACTTAATACACGTCTCTCGGTGGAACGCAACATATAATCAACCAACTCTGGGACTCCAACTGAGAGGAGCTAACCAACCATTCCAATATAGGACCACAGAGCTTGGACGATGCTTGGCGCACGCAGATTCTGACTGCTCTCTCATGCGTCGGTGGTTTGCCACGCCTCCGAATAATTCTCTCTCTCACTACGGGGGAGTGGGGGGGGACAAGAATGGGAGGAGGGGGGTTGGTAAACAAGAACTGTGCACATTACAAATTCTGCGCATTTGGCGCTGCTCATCGCTCGTTTGTGCACACGGAGACACCGAGTTTTGGCATGTTTGTCAAAATTGTTTCTCAATAGCACTCTGAAGCCAGTGTGCTTCCCCACCGAGTCAGTTTGCATTGACGTCCAAGGTCAAATTCCTGCAGCTGTCCAGTAATACATGGAACGAATTATCAAAATTCAGAGTAATCTACAAAGTGTTTGTTAACACAGCCTGCGGTGTGACACGCACCAGACTATTCCCACTTCGTGCCCGTATCACAAAACCGAATATTATCACAACCAGATTGTAAAAATAGGTTATAATTGACAAATAATATCACGTTGATATTTGCCAAAACTGAATATAGTCAGATGTATGTGCTGAACTTGTTTCGTACCATACGTAGCCAACCGAGCTAATCAAAGGCGTATGATTTGATAACACATCTTAAATGGGCTTTCACTCTATTAATCTAAGGAGCATTAAGCCACATTATTCTGTCCAGGCAGTCCCCGGGTTACACAAGGGTTAGGTTCCCCAGAATGATCCATAACCCGAATTTTCCGTATGTCGGAAACTGAAACATTTCCCCGCAAAATGAAGATAAAATCCCACAGCCGGAAATAGTTGGGCCTCCCCTACCCGACTACTAGTCGGTTTTCTCTCAGTATCACACAAAATGAAAATAATTACGTAACGCTACGAAAAATTCCTTAATCCTAGTGCAGCTCGGGCTTCGTGAAGGCGGCGTTTAGGTGGAGTGAGGTGCACGGTGAGCCACATGACATCTCGCTCGGCGGTGTTCATCCGCGATCTCACCGTGCTGCACCATTTGCGCTTCCGTAGCAAACGCAAACATTTCCGCATGCTGAACATTTTTGTTTACACGATTTATGGAAGCATTTCCGTAAAGTCGGATTTCCGTAAGTCGGGTCTTCCGCAACACGAGGACTGCCTGTATGTGTCACATTCAAGAATTGTAAATCGTTATTTGATCTTGGGTGTAGCAGTGCCAAAATGTTTAGCGCACTGAGCCATGGACCTGCCAATCTTGAGTTCGATTTCTGGCCACCGCAGCGAACGTCAGCGGCGAGTGATATCTGAACCAGTCCCGAGCTTCCCTCTCCACCGACGAGCACTCTCCCACGTGGTGAGTATGGTCAGTCCACATGACCAACACGGCCTTCAGCCAGTAGCGGATTGATACACGACTGTTAATTATACATAAAAGTTAGAGAAACCGTATTAAATAAACTGCTAGTAGCAGGTAATTAAAACTCGCAAGATGCTCTATTAAGCATCAACTTACAATCAACAGTTCGAATACAGAAAACCGTTGCCCATCGCGGGGGTTACGTTCTTGAAAATAGTCGCAATCGGCAAATCCGCGACCCGCAAACTCAAAGGCAAATGGGAAAACTCGTTAGTTGTAATTACTGACGGAACGTCGTACTCAGATTGTAAATGTCGTGACTTGGCTCTCCAACACACCGGTGTGCTGTACTAGTGACGAATTGGCATGTTCCGTTTACGTGACAACCCTTACTGGTTGGCTGTGTCGGGTGGTGGCAAGTTTAATGACACATTTATATATTTACGCGATTTAACCAAAAAAACCTCTATTATGAATGATATTGTTCGCGAAACCCGACGTGTTAAACTGCATCTCACAAACTGTGGAACCACAGCTCAGCTAGAAGGAAGCCAGGCATTGAGCTGGCACCAACAATTGCCAAAGTTCTGCAGTTCTCTTTATATTAAGGCATTATCAGCCAATTATTGAGTATTTATATACATGTGGAATGAAACTGGTGCGCCTGGAGAAAACCCACGCCAGTGAGGTGGCAACACTCTCTGCTCTACAGAAGGGACAGACGATGTTAGTCCACACTTTGCTGTGCCACCTTCTCCTGGCGAGCCAGGATATGGCACCTCGACTCCCCCGGGAAGGGAGTTTTTTAAAAATGTGTGCAATTCACCAACCCTCGCCTCCACAGTGCTGAATTACTGGCATGCATAACCACCACCACCACCCAGTTCTGTTCACTGTATATGAATACATCCTCCGCTATCCAATCTGCAGCTCAACCAACCAGTCTGAAGCTGCTCTTGCATCAGGGAAACATGCTACTTGGCTGCAAATGCCGCAGTTGTGCACCCTAGTCTTCCGTTGCTTCAAGTGTGCACAGGTAGCGTCGAGCGACTGGTCAGGCCATTTCACCAATGCAGACGGATCACATTCTCAGCAGCAGCAAGCAGCAGCAGCAGGTGGCAGAATTATTCCTCTTTGCCGAGGAGCGTCAACCGTAGCGCAACATCGACACGGCGTGACAAGAGATCCATTAGCATCACGCGGCCACGATGCACCAGATACCCCTGTGCAAAGACACGGCGGGGGTGCGATGACGCCCGCGTGTGAAGTCTTAGTTGACGTGTCGGGTTGCAAGACGGATCGCCCAGCCCCTGAGAACAGAGCGGTTCACCCTTTTCAGCACGGCACCCCCCCCCCCCCCCCCCCCGAGCCATAACTCTATGACTCGAGTATTTTGTGCAGCTGCTATTGAGAACCCCTCTGAGATATTTGTATCCACCTACCCGAACCCTAGGGATCCGCAGACCCTAATTAAGAACCCCCCCCCCATGCCACCTTGACAGTACACAGGTAATGATGCATCGAGTTATCAGTTTAAATCAATGCTTACGATTCTGGTGCCCAGCAAAAGCCCTCATTGTCCCCCCCCTCCCCCCACGTATTGTGGGAGGGTCACCCTGGGCCTCACCTCTTGACCTCGGCCGCAGCCTCCACCAGCCTCCGCGACGTGGCGAGCAGCAGACCCACGGTGAGCTCGGCGGTGGCGTCCGTCAGGACGTCGGGAGTGTAGCCGACACGGATGCCCCTGTGGCGAAACAGCGTCGGCACACACAAAGCACCTCCCGTCAACGTTACACCGTTGCCCTTCGCTTAAATTAACCCTCTCGCGCATTGTGGTGTCCGGTGTGGTGGGGACACTGCTACGATTTGTTTGCATTTCAGCCACGGTTGCTCATGCCTGCAAACCTGTGGCGCGCGTAATTCTCCCCTCCCATAGAATGTCACCTATTCAGGGTTGCGATCGAGTGGCGAGCGATACGACCACCAGGGTGAGAATCACCGGTTAAAGCAGAGCTTGGCATTCGAGGCGGCGGCGCCTGACGGAAGCTCAGTGTCCACTGTAACGGACACGATTCAGAATTGTGATTAAATTCGGTGAAAGTTTTCAAACATATTTGGGAGAATCCTTCGACTCAAATCATATGATAGCAACAACACAATGTTCGGTTTTGAGAGCCCAGAGGAGTTCTATGTAATTTAGCAAGCCGCTACCAAGCCTGTTCTATGGACAAAGAGGACATTTTTTTTTGGAACTACAGCTCTTGATTAAAAATAATAATTGGAAGAGTGAACCGAAAACTCGTTATATATGTAATGCGGGCGTAAATGACCTTCCGGATGTGACGTCATGGGGGGGAGGAGTTACGTCACGTGGGGGTAAGGGTTCAGGTATTAAAGGGGGTGAAACCGGAAGAGGAGGGGGTGACTGGAGACTGAGCGAGTGTGAGGCCACGTAGGGCGAAGGAAGGAGGAGTGGCGAGATCGCCACACACACAGAGTACGGTCGGCACCGTCGGCCAGCGGTGACCGACCCCGAGGAAACGGGGAGCTGCGGGGAGACCGCAGCAAGGGCGGCCGGGGAGGCTGCACGGAGAGAGGGGCTGCGTCAAGGAGGAGAGAGAGACAGCAGCGGTGGGGCTGCGTCAAGGAGAGCCAGAAGGCTGCACGCAGAGAGCAGCAGCGGAGCTGCGGTGGGGACGCGAGAAGGCTACAGCAGCTACAGCAGCTACAGCAGCGACAGCAGCGTCGGCAGCGGAGTGGAGAGTCTCTGGGAGAGAGCCGTGTGGGGGAAGAAACCACGAACCCAAATAAAGGACACCAAGCCAGATACCGTGGTCGAGTCCTTTATTACATATATTTCACAGCTTTTAGAGACCAGGCCGAGATCATTAACGATCTCAGGAAGTGCCGACTGGGCGCTCACACCTCTGACTCAGCAGGCCGCCCCTCAGGCCAGGTGATTGTTAACGGAGGCGCGGTGTCACCGAGCTCACCTCTTCTTGCACTCGTCCAGAGAGAGGTGATCGAACCCCACTGACATGGTGCTGATCACCTTGAGGCTTGGGCCTGCTCGCGTGAATGGAAAACCGTGCTCAGCAACCCGCAGTGTTTCACTTTTCATTAAAATTTTCATTCAAATTTAAAAAAACTAATGGGATAGAAAAAAACATCGTTATACATATTATAGATGACCAATTTACCGAGAATACACCTGACCTCATCAGATCTCGGAATCTAAGCAGGAGTGAGCCTGCACATTGCTTACATGGGCGACACTACGCATGCCGGGTTGTTATAGACGAGGCTGTGCTAAGTGGTTGGCAGCCGATGGCAATGAAGCATAATCCGATGTTGCCCTGTGATTCTATGCTCCCATAACTATGACCGAAGTGACCAGCATGGTGAAGTATGTTCAAAATAACTCCCACAACCCACAGTGGGGAAGCTGCCATCCAGCAGTGGATTGACACACAGGGCTCTACGTGTACAGTCCAGTACCTTTCGGTTACAAGACATGTGAGGCCAGTGAAAATCATTTGAGGTGGTGCAGTGGTTTAGATGTGTTATGAAAACTAGAAAAAAATTGCTTCAAAATGACATCCCTACATATTACTGGGATGCTTTTTGATTGTTAGACCTAATTTTTGGAACTGCACAGGATGTAATGGCCACACCAAAGCCCAGTAAAGTTTGCGGAATAATAAAAATATGATTAAAAAAACAAGTCAAAACGCGCACATTTTCACGTAAAGACAGTTAGCATGACAATGGTGGTACAGTAGTCAAGTCGAGCCACCACAACCTCTCCTGATCCACTAAAACACTCTTCCAAAGCAATGCATTTTAGATTTCTGCCACCGTGCCTGGCAGAAGAAAACTACAACTTATCCAAACTCTAAGTGAGGACTTTCATTCAATTATGTTTGCATTACAAAACCTCCCTCTGCAGCACCATCTGGTTTCAGCACGACAGATCCACTGGGTAGACACCACAAGTGTTTTTTGCAGTATCGTTGATTGCAAACGACAGCACTCTACTGCCAGTTATTGGATTGGTAGAGATGCCGCTTCAGTCCGATAACACCACTAAAATATCATCAAGGAATATCGTCATCGTTATCGGCCATGTGTGCCGGTGCCACCGCCAAGGTTTGCTAATTATTAGCAAATGACATCACTGGGTAGAAAGCCACACAGCAACATTACCTCCAACTGTGAAACTACTCTCAGACTATGCTCGTCTGTGAAAAGTAGCGCCTTTGGGATCGTGTGAATTCCAAATGTACTGATTCATAACAGATGTCTGTGCCATTAGAAACTGTCCACCACCTGACACAGCCCAATGATTTTTCACATGTACAATCTTCTAATTCTCTAATTCTAACTGTTTTAGCTCAGGTGAGTTGAAAAACAATCCTCACAACCGTACGCATGTATGTTGAACTTTTTTAGCACCGTACACTAGCCAATCGGAGGTGCGGGAGAACGACAACAAACTAAACACAAACAAGCAGTTCTAAAGAAATACATTTTCAATCTAGATTTTAAAGTGCATAGCTACAATGGCTTCCTAATATCGGAAGGAAAAATGTTCCAGGCGGCCGCAAAAGTGCATCTGAAAGTGCACGATGTAATAACCGTCTTTGTTCGATGGTGAGCCATTTATCAATGTACTTTTAAATCTAGATTGCAAACTCATCTCTTTAGAACGGCTTTGTGTCTAGTTTGTTGTCCTTCCCCCCGCACCTAAGATGAGCACGGTTGCCTATGTAAGGTGCGAAAGAAGTTCAACATACAAACACGGCAATTCGATTTGAAATAAAACTATAAACAAAAACTATTTCTATTTTAGCAGGTAAGGCCCACCGAGCTACATAGATCATTGTCAGAAGCGACCTGGTCAGAAAGGAAAGCTCAACGAAGTGGCTTATTGCGTGGAAATGTATAGCAGCCAAAGACTCTAAACGCACAATGTTGATTCGAAATGTGGAGGAAAAAAACGGACGACCTGGAGAAAAATCCACGTGACCACGGGGAGAACACGCAAACTCCAAATATAGAAGTGTCAGGGTCAGGATAGAACCCACGACCTCCTGTATACCAGGTGAGGTAGTTAACATCTCCTAGCCACCGTGGCGCCCCAATCTCCGTGGGGGGGGCGGTGCTGTGTTACCGGCGGCGTCCAGCACGGCGGCGTCGACGCGGTCGGTGAGCAGGCAGTAGAGGCCGTGGATTCCTGGCACCCGGCGGAGGAGCTCCTCCTGCGGGATCTGGTCGTCGCTGTCCCACTGCTGCACCTCGCACCTGCCGGGCAACACCGCGGGCCCAGTTCCAGTACATTTCAGACACTTGAATGGTGTGGGCAATCATTGACATAATCAGATATACTCTTTGGTTCTTTCGGTAAAGTCACGAAAGAACCAAAGAGTATGGATTCCTGCAGTCACGAAAGCTTCAAATCAAGAATAATCAGATATAATGTTATTATTTATCCCGGGTCGATGTCCGGTAGTCAGCTGATATCCTTCATGCTGCTTAGTGTGCATCATTGCTCAGATTGAAAGAGATCGATCAACACAAGCACCGTGTTAAGATTGCTGTCTTTCTCCCATATATATAAAACCTCGATATCTACATATATGTTGAAAGAAAAAGATGTGTAAGAGGAAGTAGCAGTGCATCGAGCGAATTCAGATGCACATATTGTGCCCACCTGGAACGCTCTTCCTTCCGATATTAGGAAGCCAATGGAGTTATGCACTTTTAAATCATCTAGATTGAAACCTCATTTCTTTAGAACTGATTTTTGTGTTTAGTTTGTTGTCTTTTCCCCGCACCTCCGATTAGCAATTTGCTTGGGCATAGTATACAAACCAAATTATACTGATTCTGAAAAAAAAAGCAGTTTGCGGGACAACACTGAAAATGTGCGCACAGACAAGTTCCTGAATCCACTTGCTGTAGCCACCACCTCTTGGCCACCTCGCAGCCCAGTGGGTTTGTGAGTTTCACTATTTTGCCCGATCCAATGCAGCAGCAACTTCTGCTCTAACGCCTCTATGTGGCAGCACGCACGGTCGAGAAAAAACTGCAAAATCGGTGATGTGTGTAGCAGGGTGTCTCATGGGCATGTTCATGGGTAGCAGACAAAACCACGTATGGGAAATAAAGACAGCCTTAGGGACCGGGATCACGGATAATATTAGGAAGACGAGTACAGCTAGGGATTGACTTAAGAGGTTACGAATAAGGTTAGAAATATTGATAAGGTTAATTTAAGGTTGGATTTATGGATGTTGCTGTAGAGATAAGCTTGGGGTACAGTTTAAAGTTGATTTGGTTTAACTGTTGAGAGTGCAATAGACCACAAAATAGAGTCGCATTTGCCAGCGCGATCTGGGCCACAATGACAGGAGCAGACACAAAGAAAATAACGTGCAGCAACGAAGCAAAAAGTAACTGGAACAAAAACAACCGTGTCACACGAGAAATCCAAAACACTGCACGCACGCCCACACAATCATTGCCAAATAATAAACGTCCTGCAGTGCAAGGCGGCTCAGGAAGATTATTCTCAGGGTGATGACAGAACAATAACGAATTAAGTTACAAAAGCATCAAACAGATATAAGGGTGACCATTGTGCCCGTCTGGAAAGAGGCAACGATACATTTCAAATGCAATTACAAGTGAAGTGATTGTAAAAAACCGAGAGTTTAGCGTCAAATTTGCGATTCAGATGGAAGGACATCTGCCTCCCGTTTGTGACAAAAGGCAATGAATGATTAGAGCCAGGGCTTGAGTCATGGATAGGGCTTAGAATACAATTAGCAACAGTGTTATTATGGCTTGGGTTGGGGGAAGCTGTCGTGCGCTAGCATCTCGGGATGTTCAACAGGGCTGGCTGCTACCGAGTGGTGGCTGCAAGCGCCGCTATTTCAGAGCAATCGCCACAAGCACCGGCGACATCCACGCCGCCACGGCAGCTGCTGTCACGCATCTCCTGACATGATGCTTGACACTGCAGGGCTGGTGGCCACCACGTGCGCATACCGTGTGAACCCATGCGGTTTAACCCGTATTCTTGTACAGGGAAATTGAGTTCAGGTCCAAACGGCGTACAGCCGTTTCAATACGGGGACAAAAAAAGATGTGTTTTCGTCTATTTGTTTGTGTTTCTCTCCTTGTGATGGGACTTTGTAGGATGAACGTTGAGATGTATCAGGGCAAGTGGTGACCAATGAGGTCTGAATTGCTCTGTTATAAGGTAGGGCACTGACAAGGGGTTGGCAGGTGTGCGTGTGTGCGTGCGTGTATATATATATTCACCTTAATTCTCAGGATTATGAGCCGCTCCTCCCTGGCCCTAATTACCCATCAATTTGCGACACTTTGCAGTCGAGTGTGGTACTTTGCGGTAACTGCTCTGTATTTGACGGTAATTTAGGGTCGGGGAATTTGCGTTGGTAGTTGTGCGGTTCTCCGCGAGACTTTGCTGTAACTCGCGAGGGGCCGACACGCGGGAAAGTAAGACGCACCCCAAGCGCGTGCCGCCTATGAATTGTATGTCAATAGTTACGCAAAATCTGGTCACACACACGCACTATCAACAAACACACACGCACTATCAACAAACACACACACACACGCACTATCAACAAACACACACACACACGCACTATCAACAAACACACACACGCACTATCAACAAACAAACACACATACATTATGATGAAGCTTGTTGTAATTACTGGCGAAACGTCGTACAGATTGTAAATGTTGTTGCTTTGTTCTCCAAAACACCGGTGTGCTGTACTAGTAATGAATTGGCACGTTCTGTTTACGTGACAAACCTTACTAGTTGGCTGTGTCGGGTGGTGGCGGGTTTAACGACACATTTATATATTTACGCGATTTAACCCCAAAAAAAACCCCGTATCATGGGCATTAGGAACACACACATACCAGATGGCTGTACATTATTCTATAATACGCACTCCCCAACTCGTACTTTAAATAACTGAAGGGGTGGTGGGGGGGTGCTTATTATAATCTGAAAAACACGGTACGGTCAATCGTGGTGGTGTCCATCCCGCGTGTTTGTGTGTGTGGGCTCGGCGTGTGTGCCTGGCAAAACAATCCCCTAACCTCCTCGTTGGTGATGGACGGTAACGCTGTGGTGAGCAGTGCCATGGGGGGCAAATTTTGATTGGCCAGTCCCCTCATGGCGTTTGTAACCACCACAGGGGCCAAAGGGGGCTCTGGATGGGTGTGAGGGGCTGGTAACCCCTCCACCTTCAATAAATTACCACAAAACCACGAAATAAAACTCGTATTAAGCTTGTGCCGGAGGCCCCCGGGGGACAGACGTCTATGACGTCTCCTGGCCAAACCCCATTTGGCGGAGCCAGGAGATTTAATCCTTACCCTCGGGGCTTCTCCAGAAACAGCAAAAAACCACTGCGGGTGGCCAGGTGGAATGTTCGAATGCTCACTGTGGAGGAGAGGCTGCCACTCCTCTGTCGGGAGCCGGATCGGTACCGCCAGGATCTCTGTGGTATTCAGGAGGTCCGGTGGACTGGCTCTGGCTCTTGCCACCATGAGAGATGGACAGTCCTCTACTTGGGGCAGGAGACTGCCAAACAACATGGAGTGGCTCTTCTTCTGAACAAAAGAATGAAGGGGACGTGGGAGCATGGCGGTGAGGTGTGGGAAGCTGTAAGCCCCAGGCTACTTTGGGCTTGCCTTCCCATCAACCAGAGGCGAGGAGTGGTGGTCATGGTTACTTATGCCCCCACCGAAGACGAACATCCGTGGAGGAATGCAGGCAAGGCTGATGAGTCAGATGCCTTCTATGACCTCCTGTCACAGGTGCTAGCTAAAGTGGCCCCTCGGGTAAGAGTCATCTTGTTGGGTGACTTTAATGCCCGAGATGGGCATGATGCTGGCACCTGGTCTGGAGTGATTGGAAGGCATGGGCCAGATCAGCTCAACAACAACGGTAAGGAGGCTGCTAGACTTTTGTGCAGCCCATGGGCTTGTAATTACCAACACGCTGTTCCGGCATCGGTGCATCCACACAACATAATGGATGCATGCCGGGTCCAAGCAAGAACATCTGCTGGATTACATAGTGACGGAACAGCGGATGTGGGCCCATGTCCTTGACACCAGGACCTACCATAGAGCTGATCTGCCCACTGACCATCGACTTGTCATCTGTAAGATATGCCTGCCATTCTTCCACTCCGTTTGTGGGTGTACACCCAGGATCCAATTCAAACCCATAGTGGCCTGGTCTCAGCTAGCTGATGAAAGTTGCAAACGAGAAATTAATCATCCCTTACGGCTGGGGTTGGCATCGTCCCCCATTCCTCCTGATGTCGAGGGGAAATGGGCGAGGTTTAGGACTGTGATTCATGTAGCTGCACGGTCCAGACCTCCCCAGAGACCCTGGCTGACAGAGGAGGTGTTCAGGCTGGCTGAGAAAAACCGACAGGCCCACTCTCATCGTCTACAGCATCCCATGTCAGAGAATGAGGAGGCTTACCGCAACCTTCGCTCAGAGGTGCGGAGAGCCATGAGGCGCTGCAAGGATGGATGGTGGTCACGGATTGCTGAGATGGAGTCTGCCTCAATGGCCCACGATCACAAATCGTTCTTTAACTCCATCAAAAAAGTAACTTGCAGCACCACACCTATTGCCATCATTAGGGGAAAGAATGGTGATCTAATCTCTGACCCCCAGGAACAGGTTTGCAGATTTGTTGAGCATTTCTGTGAGGTCCTGGGGGAGAGGACATCTCTCAGCCTGCAAAAAATCGTGGGACAAAGTGGGGATGATCCTGCTGAGGCTGTCGTGCCTCAAATATTGGAAGAAGTCACCCCTTGTGAGTGGCTTGCTGATGTGCCATCTGTTGAGGAAGTAGTAAAGGCGATCCAGAGTCTGAGAGCAGGAAAGGCACTGGGCAGAGATGATCTCCCAAGCGAAATGCTGAGGGGTTGTGCACAGACTGCCCTACATGACATCATAACAGCTGGACCACTGGACAGGTTCCGCAGGATTAGAAAGATGCCCTGGTGGTCCCCCTCTTTAAGAAGGGGGACCACATAGACTGTAACAACTACAGGGGCATTTCACTCCTCAGTGTGCCGGGAAAGGTCCTAGCTAGGAATATTCAACATCGCCTTGCCAGGCACACTTAGGTTTCGGGAAAGGGCGGTCCTGCACAGATGCCATATTTTCCGTCCGTCTGCTACAGCAGAGGTATAGGGAATTCCAACAAGACCTACATCTCTGCTTTATTGACCTGGTCAAGGCCTATGATATCATCAGTACGCCTGGGCTCCGGGTTGTTCTTCGTGCTTTCGGAGTCCCTGACTCTCTGCTCATGATCATTAAGGACCTTCATAATGGTGAGTGAGCCCGGGTAAAACTACGTGGCCGGGAGTCGGAGTCATTCCCTGTACACCTTGGGGTGAGACAGGGATGTCCTCTGGCTCCGACATTATTTAACATCCATTTTGACCACGTAGTTCGTGAAGCCTTCGATGGCTGTACCGGAGGAATTTCCATCTGGTACAGATACAATGGGAGGTTGATCGATGCCTGGGTGCGGTCAAGGGATGGCTCCCTATTGGTTAACCATGTTATGTATGCCGATGATCTGGTAATTGCTGCTTAGAGGAGGAGGCGCTGCTGCTGAACCTGCAGCGTACCACGAAGAGGAGGGGCCTTACCATAAGAACCACCAAAACTAAGCACCTGCCTGGGAATGTTGTACCATTTGACACTCCACACCCACAACTCCCAATTGGTGATGGGGCAGTTGTGGAAAGAGTGGAAAGTCTCCCATACCTGGGCACTGTGGGCAGTGTGCTCATGACCGGCTCCAGTTTGACAGCAGAGATCTCACTCTGAATCAGTCGAGCGGCATTATCTTTTCATCGGTTGTGTAACGCTGTGAGGAAGCTTCAGGTCTTCTCGGCCACCGTCATTACATCCCTTCTCTATGCTTGTGAAACGTGGACCCCCCTAATGGAACATCTTAGCCGGTAGAAACATTTAGGCTGTCCTGCCTAGATCCATCCTGGGTTTAACCAGGCTGGATTGTGTGAGGAGCTCACAAATCCTTGAAAGATCTGGGCAAAGTCCCATCGGTGAGCTCCTCCGGCAGGCAAGGCTGCGTTGGCCTGGTCATGTAGCCCGCATGCCCAGCCACCGCATGCCTAAACAGCTTTTGTTCGGGCTAGAGAAGAGATGGAGTGATGTGGTACAGGAGGACGTGGAGCTGAGTGGACTTGCCTATGACTGGTACCAGCGGTGTCAAGATCGGCCTCTGTGGAGGAGGCTCGTGAAGGACGCTACTGGGCAGTTGGAGGCAGTCGCCCTCCAACAACAACGGAGGGCGGAGGAGCGACGCTCACAACAACGAGCGGAGCACCGGGTGGCTAAAGCACAGCAAGTTAGCACAGTAGGGGGCACAGGTGGTGCATCGGCTACTCATCTCAGTCTACCCGTGGCACCTGCTGGATCTGCCCCGTGACCTGCTACCAACGGGCGTTCGACACTTCACGTGGCCTCAACGTGCACCTAGCCTGGCACAAGCGCCGTGGTGACGTCACCGCCACTTAGTGCCGAATAGCAGTTGTTGTGTGTGGGCGCTCGGCGTGTATGTGTAGGATCAGTGTGTGTGGGATCACTGTGTGTACAGTGTGTGTGCAGTGTGTGCGGTGTGTGTACAGTGTGTGTGTACAGTGTGTGTGTACAGTGTGTGTCTCGCTGTGTACAGTGTGTGTGTACAGTGTGTGCGGTGTGTGTACAGTGTGTGTACAGTGTGTGTGTGCTGTGTGTGTACAGTGTGTGTGTCTCACTGTGTGTGTACAGTGTGTGTGGACTCAGTGTGGCTGTGCCCCCCACTCACTGTGTGTCTCACTGTGTACAGTGTGTGTGTACAGAGTGTGTGTACAGTGTGTGTGTCTCACTGTGTACAGTGTGTGTGTACAGTGTGTGTCTCACTGTATACAGTGTCTGTACAGAGTGTGTGTACAGTGTGTGTCTCACTGTGTACAGTGTGTGTGTACAGAGTGTGTGTGTGTGTCTCACTGTGTACAGTGTGTGTACAGAGTGTGTGTACAGTGTGTGTGTGTCTCACTGTGTACAGTGTGTGTACAGTGTGTGTGTACAGTGTGTGTGGCTGTGCCCCCACTCACTGTCCGCTCGCCTCCAGGGCCCCGACTCCGGAGTCGGGGACTCTGCGGGTCAGCAGAACCCTCCAGGGCCCCGGCCCCGCTCCGCGCCGGGTCGCCTCAGCGCTCGCCATTGCGAGGAGCTTCGACCAGGCGGGTCGCACGCCTCGACACAGCAGAGGCACCAGCGGTAGTCGATGCAGCAGCAGCGGCAGCGGTGCAGGCATCCGCCGTGAGTCTCTCCCCCACCACGACCACCACCAGCTGCACCGCCTCCCCGCACGCCACCAGCAGCAGCAGCGAGAGAGAGCGGCTCAATTCAACAACACCAAACACAAAAAGCAGTGCTATGGGTACGGCGTAATGAGTCGTGCAATTATAACTGTGATGGCAACGGCAGATATTAGTCGTGAAGTAAGCGTTCTAATATAGCCGCTGCCCCAAAACGTGGTACCTTTAAAATGACAGATTTTATAAACGCGAAACAAAAATTGCGCCGCGACGCTTGCCGTAGTCGGCTCTACGGGTCGCCTCGATGGCCAAGAAACGCGAAGATGGAAAACGCGTTTTGTTAAGTGCGCAGGCGCGCGTGATCACCCACGTGGACGTCCACATGGGTGATCACGTGAGCACCCACGTGGACACCCACGTTGACGTCCACGTGGCAGCTGCGACGGAGCGACGCGATCGGACACCCGACGCGATCGCCCCGATCGGAGATTTTTCCAACGTGTGCCTGGCGTCAACCGGTGTCAAGATCGGCCTCCATGGAGGAGGCTCGTGATGGAAGCTGCTGCTACTGGGAAGTTGGAGGCAGTTGTGGGGACCGACATCCACCCCACCGCCCTCGCCAGGCAGGTGGGGCGCGAAATCCGCCCCTTCCGCTCACTCCTCCACCGCGTCGACCGGCTCTCGCCGGGCCCCCGCCGACCAAACGAGCGGAACCCCCGAGCTCGCGCCCGCTCTGAGAGACATATTCACACTGCTGGCTCACGGCCGCACGGTGTTACCCCACACACCCGCGCACACCGCAGCTATCGTTAACACAGGCGCGCGAACGCCCTCGCGCGATTATTTACTAACACACCACAGCCAACGCTAACGCGGCGCACAGCGATACGCCCACACCCGCGAGCGATTACCTCACGGCGCGCCCGTGTCGCGGCTCCGCAGTCGCTCTACACACAAATCACAGACACCACACCGATGCTCTGTGCTATCTTTTATTCGCGGCACAAATACACACTCCCTGGGGGAATATTTCGCGAGAAGAGCCGAGCCTACTGCTGCCTAAGTGCTCAGTCACTCACACGTCCTACCAGGTACCTCGAAGCCGTACTCATGGCGTCACACGGGCGCTGTGAGAGTCGGAGGGAGAAGGACGAGAGAAAACTTTACCTATCACTGCCTCGTAGCAGCACTCGCTGGCATCACACGGATGCTGCGAGCGGCTCGAGGAGGCAGGGCGGCAGGGAGTGGGCCTTGGCGGCCCAGAGGTTGAAGACAAGAGTCCGAAAATCATCCCGGGATACTCTTTTTATTCCCTTAACTTCAAAGGGCCGGGGTGACGTCGTACCGCGCGGCCAATCGTAAGCCTACCTGTGGTTACCGCCCCCTGTTACCGTGTCCTCCGTGGAGTGCCGCCGTGGCGGCGCCGGCCTTCCCTTGTCCCTCATTGTCTGGAAGGGCGCCCAGCTGTCGAACACACAGCCTGCGAGTGTGTATTCAGTATGAAGGTCGAGATGGGGAGGGGGCAGTGGCGCTGCGATTCTTCTGACCTCATGGTCTGCTCTTCTTGCTTAATATTCCATCCTCAGTCCCTCCTGATGTCGTGAATAACTCATTGCGGCTGGTCCAGTGAACCTTTTCTTTTTGCGCCCATACAATTTTACGCCAACTAAGGGCACCACAATGTGATCTGTCCTGCGAGGGTCGGCCAATCTCCTGGCGCCAGGAAACCGTGGGACTATCCTCCTGGGGAGCCTTCGGATGAAAACCCGTTGTGCCAGGCAATCCCCCGCCAGGACACTACGTGTGTGCGCTGCATGTTGGGTGCTCAGTGTGTGTGCTCGGCGTGGGGCCAGGCGGGAGTCGCAAACCTGGCAGAGTTGCTCCGCGACCGTGGCACCACACAGTCGCCCTCCAGCAACAACGGAGGGCAGAGGAGTGACGCTCGCAACAATGAGCGGAGCAAGCACTGGGCAGATAAAATGCGGCAAGGTGGCACAGTGGAGGGTGCAGCTGGGTGTGTCTACCGGTCATCTCAGCCAACCTAAGGTACCTGGGCCTGTTCCGAGACCTCCAGTCAGCGAGCCTTCGACACTTCACGTGGCCTCAAAGTGCACCTGGCCTGGCAAAGGTGCCGTGGTGACGTCACCGTCACTAAGTGGCGAATGGTGGGGATTGGTATTGGCAGTTAACCGAAGGGGTGGGTCTTTGCCCATATATCAGAATCGGAATATTAACACTGCAGGAGGAATCCGATTAGCTATAAAGCTCTTTTTCCACAGTCCATTCGGTGAGGAGGGTAAGAACGTTACAAAAACAAACAATACAATGATAGGAGTGCAAAGTACAAGGGTAAACAAATCACTCAAACATATACAAATAAAACGACAACATCCCCATCCCACCCAGACAAAGCCCGCCGGACTCTTGTGGAAAGTGAATCGCGGATAATTGTTTCGATTCCGCTCAGTCAATCCGGCGCCCAGCTCAAAGTCGATTGGACAGCCATCTTTAAGATGTCCGATTTCGATCATAAATGTAATTCCGCGGTTCACAGGGTGCATACAAAACAACAGTATTGATGTCCGATTTTATTATATGGAGATCTGCGAACCGCAAAAAATTGATTCAAGATAAAATCGGACATTCTCAACTTTGAGCTGGGAGTCGGATCGATTGATCGGAATTGATACAATTACAGTTAATTTCGAGTCACAATCCGCAACGACTTGATGTGGGGGACATGTGGTCGGTGATTTGGTCGGGTGTGCGATTGTGTAGCTCCATTGCAGCGCCACGCGGACTCGAGGGAACACGTTTCGTGACCTCGCTTTAAAAGCAACAACCGTAAGTTGTGACATTTTGACTATTGTCCGCATGAAGTGCTCGCATACCTGTCAACCCCTTATCAGTGCTCTATCTTATTACATACCAATTCAGATGTTCATCCTACAAAGTCCCATCACAAGGGAGAAACACAAATGTTATTTTTTTTAACGGCTGTAGACCGCATGGACCTAAAAACTCAATTTCCCTGTACAACGCTAGCGCCATCTCCTGCATTATTGTGGAGTTACATTTACATACTGTCATGCAGTACTATGGATTCTATCTGGGGGAAAGGTTAATGGGCAGATCTATTATGGAAACCTCTGGAACATTCCCGAAGATTCCTAGAGGGGCGTGGCCAGAAGCGGGGCTTAGCCTCGGAGAAGGGAATATAAGCCGGAGGCACAGCAACGTTAGTGGTCGGTGTTTGAAGATCGAAGAGGAGCTCCCCGCCGCTGCTGCCCCGCCATCTCCACCTGCCACGTGGCGGCTCGACCTCCAGCCGCTCAAGCCGCTCCCCAGTGCGCCATCAGCCGGCGGTGCAGTGGAGAACGGGGAGAGCGCCACGTGGCGCGCCATCAGCCGGCAGTGTGATGGAGAGCGCCACGTGGCGCGCCATCAGCCGGCAGTGTGATGGAGAGCGCCACGTGGCGCGCCATCAGCCGGCAGTGTGATGGAGAGCGCCACGTGGCACGCCATCAGCCGGCGGTGCAGTGGAGAACGGGGAGAGCGCCACGTGGCGCGCCATCAGCCGGCAGTGTGATGGAGAGCGCCACGTGGCGCGCCATCAGCCGGCGGTGCAGTGGAGAACGGGGAGAGCGCCACGTGGCGCGCCATCAGCCGGCAGTGTGATGGAGAGCGCCACGTGGCGCGGGGCAGCGCAACCACGAGAACGGGTCGGTATCCGCGGAACGAGAGGAGTGGCTGTACCGAAGTCTAACTAAATTTCCTGAAGTACTTACCGTGTCGAAGACACTTATGACACGGGTAAACCGTATGGGTTAACACGGTTTGTGCTCGTGCTGGTCATGGCGGGTTGGTGGAGGCTTCTGTAAGGGTGCAGCAGCCAATACGATGATGCTCTGCCCACGTTGTTGTCTGTTGTCATAGGTCTTTACATGTTCTTGGTTCTCACCTCTCTCTCGTGTCCGGCTGGATGAATTTTTTTTTCCTCGGCAGCGGTGATTAATAACTCCGGCAAGGGCATTGCTTAGAATCTGGACTCGACAGAACACCACACTTGGCGCTCGACAGAGGCAACCCAAATATGACCGCGACTGATGGTAATGCCCAATATTTACCTTGGGATGTTTGGCCGATTCCACAAATGGCTTCGTGCTGGAGGAAACCAAAAACAACCCCGGAGAAAACCCAGCGGCGCACACCGGCATGTAGGAATCAAAGTTCCGCTCAGGTAGAGGCACTACATGAGTACACGCACATGACATCACTATGTGTGGTTGTGGGAATGACGTCACGGCCGGGCCGGGGAGCCTGGAGGCCGTCGGTCAGTGCCACGGGGATCGTGCGAGGCCGCGGCACTCTGTATGAACCCGGCCGGACACGTGACCGAATCTAGGTGGGGGCCCTGGGGGGACCTTGGAGGTCACGTGGCCAGAAGCAGAGCCTTCTCGAGGGTTCTCGAAGGTGGGCGTGGCCTGGGTGTGGCCTGGCCACGCCGAGGCGCATATAAGCGGCCTCCGCACGAGGTGCGGGGCTGCTCGGGTCCGGGATGAATACGCCTCATGAAGAGTGAAGCCAAGCGTCAAGTCAGTGTGGCCAAGCAGTAGCCCTCCTGGCTTAGCCACGCCAGTCGACATCAGAGTGTCAGTGTTAGCGAGAATAGGTCGGTGGTCACCACCCTATGTGTAGTGTAATTACTCATTGCCTTCCCATAACAGTGTGTGGCGCCTCCATTTCACTCATAACTAGAGTAATTAGCAGACGCATGCATTTTTGACATGGAATAATTTATGGAACGTTTGATTTAAAAAACAGTAACAGATAATTTGACTGCCATGAGCATTTTTGATTTCAAGATGCACGCGATGCCCTGGGTGAGAAAGACAGCCCTCGGACCAAAGTCTCGCGGTCGAGGGACACGGCATTAAACTTCGCACAGAAAAATATCAAAAGACGAGCTTTAAATAAAAATATTTTAAAAACTCCACGCGAAGGCTCGTTGCTGAAGTTGTAACGCACGCGCTTAAGTGCAGATGTACGCAAACATTACCACTGCGGAACAAAAATTTACAAACGAACCCCCCGCCCATGGAGAAATAAATAGAGTTAAACACGCAACACCCGGGACGGCGATGGCCGTGGCCCAGCGGTGGTGCCGTCGAACCTCCATCGCAGCGGTTCGAGGCGAGCGGCCGTCCTGGTTAACACTGCAGCGTGCGTTATTGAAGGGAAATGCTACGCGCTGCCTGCTTCACAGTCGACGTTAAAGATCCCGCGTTGTCATTCATGACAGAGTGGGAGGCCACGCGTGCCGACGTCGCCGTCCAAATTTGCCGAATTGTGAAGATTACGTTCACCTTCATTTGGGAAAAACCCACATCGCTATGTCCCTCCCTGCTGGCGGACTCTACTCGTCTGCGAGAAGGCGCCACCACCATAGCCTTTGCACGATAACGATAGCGTAAATATAAAATACACCACAATAATTCAAGGAAGATGCAATCAAAACAGCTCTCGTGTCGGATCCGAAACCAAGCGGAAGACTCCGCAACTCTCACCAGACGGACGAGCGCGTACGGGGGGGCCTGGGAACGAACGAGAGCCGTCGTGAACCAAGGCGGTGAGCGGCTTGCATGCGGCGCGGTGATGTCACGTGAGAGTGTCTACAGGTGAGTGTCTACGGCTGACTGTGTCTACAGGTGAGTCTACTGCATGGCCCCAGGTGGTGGTGGCCCCAGCTGGAAATGGCCTGGGTGGGGGTGGCCCAACCTGGGGCTGGCAACCGGGTGGGGGTGGCCCTGGGTGGGGGTGGCCCTGGGTGGGGTGGCCCAGCTGGGGGTGTTCCCGGGTGGCTAGAGGTGGCAGGCCGCCTTGGCCACCTCCTCGAGGCGCGTGGCGGCTCCCAGGTCTCCGCTGATGCGGAGTCGCCCGCTCATGTAGGCGGTGAGCGGACGCAGCTGCCCGCTCATCACGGCCACCAGGTCGTGCTCCGTCATCTCCAGCACCGCGTCTGGAGGCTGGGCCGCCGCGGGGGGGGGCCCTCGTCCCACGGCCCCCGATCCTGGCACCGACCGCACGGCGATGAGCGAGGCGAACAAAGGCCGTAAAGCCACAGATCGCGCCGGACTCGGCTCGCCATAAAAACGATAAAGATTCCCCATGTAGCCCATGCAAGCTGTTGGGGCAAGTGCTGTTAGCGAGCACCTATGAAGGCTGACGCGGCGCAAGAGGGGGTGGGTGGCCGGCATCGCGCCCGTGGCAATGTTCACACGCCGCACCAGGTACTCATTTAAGGCTGAGTCGACCTATGGGAGGTTCAGTACCGGTTCAGATAATCGTCACTTGTGTTGGACCTGAGCAGGAATCTAACTTGGGTCACCAGGTTCGTAGTACGGCGTGTTAACCACTGCGCCACCGCTCCCCCACACACATTGAGTGCAATTCTGGCGAAGCTGGAATGGCTATCCGCACGCCGATGGTGCGGTGCAGGACGGTTCTCACGACCAACAATCTCGTTGCCCAACTTGGCTGAGAATTGTTCCTCAACTCGCCTATGTGAGCTGCCACACGAGAATGGGCGGCGCGTCGTTAAACGTTTGCCTGCGCCGGGTGGTGGAGGGTCTTCACGACACAACCTTGGTCGGATCCCCTTGTCGCGCGACCTACAAATCAATTGTGAATGAAACCGCCCGGCGCCGACGAACGCGCCGCTCTCACCGGTCTTGAGGTCCAGGTGGTAGGTCCGGCAGGAGCCGTCACGACACTGCACGTCGAACCGGTAGACGGCGCCCACCCTCTCCACCAGCGACTCGCACAGGAGGGGCCCGACGGCCGCCAGCAGCGCGTCGTCACCGTTGTCGCCCCCCTCCCCTCCCTCCTGCACCGCGGACCTCGCCGCCTGCAGCGAGCATCCTGCGGCACAGGGGAGTGGGCAGCGTTCACGCCAGGGCCGGGCAGACCCGTCGCTCCCAACGCAGCCCCGACGGTCACCACGCAACCCCGGCACCGCGCCGAGCCAAAGCGTTCATTCCGGAACAGAACCCTCACAGCCGTAGACGCCCCGCAGCACTAAAGTGCCTCGTGCCGAGGACTAAAACCCCGGCGGGTTCTCAGCCGTTTTCTGCCGATGCCCCAAACACCCGGAATTCCACCGATTGTAAAACACCCTTGTGGTTCATCTACCATCTGTCGACGAACCTCACCTGCAGTTGTATTTGACATCGTACTCCCTTGTCTCTTTGCATTCCAGAGCGATCCTCGGCAAAATCCCCGCCAAAGTCTCCCACCACTATTACCCGTCTCGTGCAGCCAAGATGCTCGTAGCGATGGATAGCGGTCGCTCGTGGTGGACTCGTGTTGCCGCGGACCGCGTGCAATGAAGTTGCAGGCCGTGGCTGGGCCACGGGCCGCAGGTTCCCCAGCCCTCGTCTGAATCTAAAGTTGCCACCTACAGCCATCTTGAGATACACACACAGAGAGCTGGCTTTTTACTTTTACTACGTTACATTCCGCTTGTTTTACCCCGGGAGAGCCTCATCGAGTCTCAAAACTCTTTTTGGGGAGGGTCTTGCCAAGTTTTTTTGCAGTAAGGGGCGATGTTGCTACTGCTCTGTAAACCCAATTGAGTAATTTTCAGGGACATTTTCAGCATTGGGATGTTTCAGGCCGATACTGGTTACATTGTGGGGTTTTTTGTTTTTGCAATGGGAGGAAACTGGGGAACCGGGAAACCCGTGCACGCCTTGCGGAAAGGCACCAGAGTCGGGTATCGAACGCAGACGCTTCTTGCTGCGAGGCACGAGCGCGATGATTTCTGCGTACTTTTACTTGCGATTATGGACAGCCCTCAGCCAAGAGAAAGAATCGAGCGACTTTGTTGCTCACCGGCGTCGCGCCCTGCCGCCTGCCGGTCGCTCATTGCCATCACGCCGCCCAGGATGGTTTGCACCGGCCCGGCCAGCGCTCCCCACGCCTCGGGAGTGAGGCCCGGCACGCACGGCGGCAGCAGCGGCGCAGAGAGGCCGGTCGCGCCCGGCGAGCACAGCACGGCCTCCAGCGCCAGCTCCACGCGCTCCACCTCCAGGCCCCACGGCTCCGTCACCTTGGTCACCTCCAGCTGCGTGCGGGCCGCACAGAGGGGGCGGGCCAGGTCAGCCGGAGTCGCGCGGAGACTCGGGGGAGGGGGGGCAGGACGCGCATGAGTTTCCCCCGCAACGCACCCGGCGCACCACATCCAGTACACATCTTGCTATGGCTGTGGCTACTACTAGTCACTATCCTATTGTATATGTTGTATATACTATTGTGTATACAGGTTGTCCTCGCTTTAAGTGGGTTCGGTTTGTGCGATTTCTTTGCTATGTGGCTATACGGTCGGAAGCTGGACATGTGTGCTGTGTGTACTGCATGTGCTGTGTCTGTACTGCGTGTGTGTGTACTGTGTCTGTACTGCGTGTGTGTTTACTGCGTGTGTGTTTACTGTGTGTGTGTACTGCGTGTGTGTGTACTGCGTGTGTGTGTGTACTGTATGTAATGTGTCTGTACTGCGTGTGTGTACTGCGTGTGTGTGTGTACTGTGTGTGTGTACTGTGTGTGCTGTGTGTGCTGTGTGTACTGCATGTACTGTGTCTGTACTAAGTGTGTGTGTGTACTGTGTGTGTGTGTACTGTGTGTGTGTGTCTGTACTGCGTGTGTGTGTGTACTGTGTGTGTACTGTGTGTGTGTGTGTACTGTGTGTACTGAATGTACTGTGTCTGTACTGCATGTGTGTGTGTACTGTGTGTGTACTGTGTGTGTGTACTGTGTGTGTACTGCGTGTGTACTGTGTCTGTACTGCGTGTGTGTGTACTGTGTGTGTGTACTGCGTGTGTGTGTGTACTGTGTGTGTGTACTGCGTGTGTGTGTATACTGTGTGTGTGTATACTGTGTGTGTGTGTACTGTGTGTGTGTGTACTGTGTGTGTGTGTACTGTGTGCGCTACTCGGCAGGAAGCTGTCTCGAGTGTTCGCTGGCTGTTGCAGAGGTTCGCGGTTCGAATCATGCAGACAGCCCTGGTTATTCCTGCGGGTGTATTAACTACAAAAATAAGCGCCGTCTGTCTCACTGGATGTTATAGATCCCATGACACCAATCGAAACAATAAGTCCATTGTGTCGGAGTCATGCTCAAAAAATTCAAACATTTAACTGAATTGGGATTAGACGTGGCAATCATCGCCCCCTACTGGCAGACTATTGCCCGCTTGCAGCCCGTTGCCGAGTCACCTTGTGCCCCGTAGGCACAGCTGCCACTGGGGGTACCCTTTCGTACGTGTTGACATGAGAGGTGATGCGAGTCGAGCGCTCCGACACGCCCTGGCATCACAGAGCTCGCCGTCGCGATCAGGACGAAGCCCTAACCCGGGCCGCGTCGTGCCCACGCCGCCGTCTCACCGCGAGCTCGTCGGCCATCTTGGCGCTCTCGCTCTGCAGCTCGTGCAGCGAGTGGCGGGGCAGCAGCGAGGCGAGCGCCGTGTGCGCCGCGCTGCGCGAGGAGCGGTTCACGTCCTGCGCCGCGGTGAGCAGCAGCACGGGGCAGTGCACGCGCACGCGCACGTCGGCGCCCACCGACACCAGCGCGCCGTCCCGTGTCATCGCCTGCGCCGGGTCATGAGGAGGGAGAGCGGAGAGGGAGAGGACTGGCGGTTGGCTCAGAGGGGAACCATCACAGCATGAGTTTCGTGTTGAGTTTGTTAACCAGGTGGGAAGTCAAGAGACAAAGGGAGCCCAGTGACTAACCTGGGTCACCAAATGACAAAAGCAATGATCCAATAAAATAAAGTACCAACTTGAAAATAGAAAACAGGGCAAAAACAACCGTGTCAAAGAATCAGTTGAAAGCAGCGCAGAAACTTAAACAAGGTTACATAAATCGGGTGGGAAACAAATACAAAAAACGAAAATAAAGCTGTGCTGTAGCACGCAACGGCAGTAAGGCCCGACGCCCATCCACACGCCTTGCGTGCGTGTCACGTGACCGCACATTGCCTGCCAAACCTCTAACAACCGACAAGTCGTGCGACTCCGGCCTGCACCTAGCAACCGCATCAGCGACGAGCTTGGCCGAGCGGTCGTTGGGCCCGCCGCAGCGGCGGGGACGGGGACCGGGCGAGGAGCGACGCACCCTACAAGGAGGAACGTTGAACGCGCGCGGGCGCGTGTCCACGCGGCGCCAGCGGTCGATGCAGGGCAGCACGAGCGTGACGCCGGGGCCCAGCGGCGCGCGCAGCCTCCCCAGGCGGAACACCACGATGCGCTCGTGCAGCGGCACAACCTGCGGCCGGGGGCGGGAGGGGCGGAGGTCACGGTCGAGTGGCCGTCCGGCTCGGCGGAGTCTTAAGAGAGGCCCCCCCGTACGCGGCGAGGCCTTTGTGGTTTTTGTAGCGAGGTCTTCTTGGGCAACCTTTCCGTAGATTGGGGCGGTTCGTCTCTCGCAACGCAATTTGACTCTACAGTTTTGTTCGTATTGGATCAATTTACCAGTCACCGTGGGGACCTTGTACAAAGAGACGGAAGCCCAGAGGCACTGCGCCAACGCTTTCAAACTCAGCTGGAAAGATAAAAAAAAACAAAAGAGTGTACACGTGCACGTGTGTACATGTACATCCCTTTTGTCAATCAACTGTCACATTAACGCCTCCCTATGCGGCGCGAATCGTGGGGGTTATTCAACCAGACTTCACGATAATGGTCGGTGCGGGTTCGTCATGGTGAGGTGCTAATAAGTGGGAGCATACGAGTAGAGTACAATGGATTTTTCTGCACCGTCCTCTGCCGTCCACGATCCCCGCAGCCCCTACGGCAACCTGTTTGCGCGTGGCGGTGACCCATCGGAGCGCTATCCAGCCTCAACCCTGCATGGCTTCCGAGACCCGACGGTGGGGAGCGCCGCGGGCGCTCGTGACGCCGGGACGTGGTACCTTGAGGCAGAACCACACGGACAGCGGGAAGGTGAGCAGCACGAAGACGAACGTCAGGGACGTGATGACCAGCGAGCAGAACCACGACAGCCATGACTCGACGGACTCGGCCTCATCTGAGCACAAGACATACGCAGCGTCGACACACGCACACGGGACTCCATGCCAGGGAGAGGTGCTCGCGTCGCGAGTGCGTGTACATGAGCAGCCCTGCTGTCAATCTGCTGCAGCACCCGGGCCTCCACTTGCCGTCCGGGTCACGGGGATTGTTGAAGGGTCACAGGGATTTACTAATAGGGTTTTTCCCCTTTTTTCTGGCAACAAAACTGACACCTTTTGCAAGGAATCATGCTTACATTAACCACAATACTTGCAGTCAAATGCAAACAAAAAACAATACTCTGATAATTTATGCATTGTCTTTGAAACTGATTGGTCCACACCAGAGACAGCTTTCTTTAGAGCCTCGTCTCATATGGTGTTCGACCAGATGACGCCAAAAGGCGCACAGTTCAAAGACAACGTACTATCAGAGTAATGAGAGCTCGGGTTGAGCAGCTACATCATGGGACCTCCTTTGCCAGTACTAAAATATACTAATAGGGTTTTTCCCCTTTTTTTTCTGGCGGAGATCCCATGATGTAGCTGCTCACCCCGAGCTCTCATTACTCTGGTAGTGCATTGTCTTTGAACTGTGCGACTTTTGGCGTCATCTGGTCGAACACCATATGAGACGAGGCTCTAAAGAAAGCTGTCTCTGGTGTGGACCAATCAGTTTCAAAGACAATGCATAAATTATCAGAGTATTGTTTTTTGTTTGCATTTGACTGCAAGTAATGTGGTTAATGTAAGCATGATTCCTTGCAAAAGGTGTCAGTTTTGTTGCCAGAAAAAAGGGGAAAACCCCTATTAGTATATTTTGGTACTGGCAAAGGAGGTCCCATGATGGTCACGGGGATTGTTGAAGGGGCCCGAGTCCTGCTGTTGGTGGGGATTTATATCGAAAGTCACAGTGACTTTTCTTGTGGAGGAAACTGCACGTGGATGTTTGGACAATGTCACGAATCGTTGAGAGTTTTGGCTTCAAGTGGAAGAAGACCGGATGGTCCGGAGAAAGCCCAGCACCGCTCCGCTGTGTACACGAGGGGAGCGATCCGGCACTGCCGTGTCCTGGCCGCACCTCGCAGCCCCGCGCCTACAACACCTGGCAAGCCTTGGTGCTCGGATCCCTTTACAAATGGTGGCCACCCCACACATCAACAGTATTCACGTAGACGATGCGACGCTATTTTTACACGTTTGCATTTCGCGTGAATTTTAGATTCATTATTTTTTGCCTGCCGACCTGGTCGGGCTGAGCGTGAAACTCCGCCTGCCTATCCGCTGATTCCCTGCAATACCGAAGTCGTCGTCCTGGCTGAGGCCGCCGCTGCCCTTGGTGGGGTCCGGGCTGCTGTAGGTGAACACGGACTGGAAGGACAGCGCCTGGTACTTGGCACCGGCCATGACGCCTCGGGTCGCACCTCCGATTAGCACGTGTGGGCTGCGTACGGTGCGAAAGAAGTTCAGCATAGACACACACACGCGGGTCACGTGGCCTGTCCCTGCAGTGAGAGGAGACCCAGGCAGGACAAGTCAAGCCGTCGTCGCCCGATGGGAAGCAATTGTTATTTTACAACCATCTGGCGATGTGGCTGCTGCTGCTTAAGAAGAAAAGACGTTTCGGGCCATGGCCCTTCTTCACAGCACATAGGAGAGAGAGGCCACAGCAGTTGCCAGCGTCCCGTCTCTATATTTCTACGCGCTGCGTGAGTTTACACTTAGCACCGCCAGTCCACTGCTGGATGACGGCCTCCCCACGCAGTGCGGGTCCGCGAGGGGGTTGACAGGCCATGCTTCACCAGACCGCTCACTGCGCGCGTCGGTGAAGGCGCAGGAGCCATACAAGTGCAGCACAACACTGATTGCTGCTGCTGCTGCATCGCCCTCTGCTGGCCGCCACGTGGCCCCGTCTCAATGAAGCTCCGTACGCAGCCCCGTCAACAACAACAACCACCACCAGGAGACAAAGGCACACTCATTGACCTACATAGGCCGAGTTCAATCATCTCTGCCTGCACCCGGCAGCGCTACAGATGGGTGGGTACGGCGCGGTACAGATGGGCAGGGCGTGCGCGCTCCTACCTCCTTGTCTGGCCAGCGAGGAAGAGTAGGCCAAGTCAAACGCGCTTCAGCAGAGACAGTGGTTGGGGGGGGGGGTCTCTTTAGCGGCCACTCGTGGGGGCCCTTGCGCCAGCAGTGGCGGCGGGAGCGAGAAGCACTTGCAGGGCTGCGCCTTTGGCTTCCGTTCGCTTCCGCGTTGTCTGTGACGTCACGCGGCGGCCTCTCACCCTCAGGGGGCGGGGCGAAGATTCTAGGGGGCGGGGCGAAGATTCTAGGGGGCGGGGCGAAGATTCTAGGGGGCGGGGCGAAGATTCTAGGGGGCGGGGCGGCTCGAGAGCTTTGTTCGTATTTAAAAATAAAAAAATGTTGGGATTTGGAGCATTCGTGACTGCAGGAATCCATACTCTTTGGTTCTTTGGGTGAAGTCTACCGACGTGACCTTAACGAGAGAACCAAAAAAATACAAAACAAACTGTGCCAGGTAAGGCCCACTGAGCGATGGATCTCTCTCAGCAGTGGCTCAGCTGCATCAGCGCCACGTGGAAATGTAAAACGCGCACGACGTCCATTCTCAGCGTGCAGGGGGAGAACCCGGAGGACCCGGAGGGAAAAACATCCACGGGGAGAGAGACACGGCCGCAGAAGCACGACTTGTGACCGTCAATGACCTTATTTGTTCGATGGTTATCCACTTAGCAGGGCACTTTTATATTTCGATTGTAAACTGATATTCTTCAGAACTGCGTATTTGTGTTAAGTCTGTTCTTCCCCGGCACCTTCGAATCTTCGATTAGCAAGGTTGGCTACGTCCGGTGCGAAAGAAGTTCAACATGCATACATGACGATTCGATTTTAAATAAAACTATTTTAAAAGATGTTTTTATTCTTCCAGGTAAGGCCGACTGAACTATTTTTTTCAGACGCGATCTGGCGATCACAAACAATCGCTTATCGCGTGCACATGTCGAGCAGCCGAAGACTCAACGCGTGTTTATAAATATGGAGGGGATGAACACAGCGGAGGACCCGGAGAAACATCCACGCGACCATGGAGAGAGAACGAGACGCGCAGACTCCAAATACACAGCAGCAGGCGTCAGGGTCGGGATCGAACCCACGACCTCCTGTACACCAGGCGAGGTAGTTAACATCTCCTAGCCACCTTGATGAGAGACACGCAAACTCCAAATATACAGCAGCAGGCGTCAGGGTCGGGATCGAACCCACACGACCTCCTGTACACCAGGCGAGAGAGTTAACATCTTGCTACCGTAGCTTAAATGTCCACAAACTTTAGGATTTATACATAATGTGTTTATATATAAAACGTGTGTTAACGCCATTGTGATTGTGTACTTGATGTATATGTTTTGGTGCAGTAAGCTTCTGCACGTTGAGTAACCCGCATGAATGGGTGGGAGGCCACGTGGCGGCCTGCAGAGGGCGGTGCAGCAGCAGCAGCATTCAGAGTGAGACCCCCACCAACAAGACAAAGATCCCCCGTATAGCCTTCACAGACTGCTGTTGGGCAAGTGCTGCACGCCGTTCTCGTACCACCAGAGCTGCAACGACAAGACACGCGCACAAGGCCACACGCACCAACTCGTGCAACTGTGTTCTCTGAGTGTGCTACAAAGACAGATCCCCCCGTGTAGCCTTTACAGACTATTGGGGCAAGTGCTGTCAGCGAGCACCTATGAAGGCCGGCACGGCACACGAGGGGGTGGGTGTCCAGCACCACGCCCGGCCGCCTTTGTCTCCCCAGTGGCGATGTTTACACATCGCACCAGGTACTCATTTGAGGCTGAGTAGACCTAGGGGAGGCAAAGGACCGGTTCGGATAATCGTCACTGAGTGTTGGCCATGAGTGGGAATCGTACCCGGGCCGCCGGATTCGCAGCGCAGCGCGCTAACTGCTACACCACCGCTCCCCTTGACCCCCACCACCCCCGCACTGACCGGCGTGGTGAAGTATGGTCAAACAGCCCCCATGACTGACGCGGCTTGGGAAGGAAGGCCTTCATACAAGAGGTGGATGGCACAGAGCTGTATTACTCCATAATAGAGGTTTTTTTTGGGTTAGATCGCGTAAATATATAAATGTGTCGTTAAACCCGCCACCACCCAACACAGCCAACTAGTAAGGGTTGTCACGTAAACAACGTGGCCAATTCGTCACTAGTGCAGCACTAGTGCATAGTCGTGTATAGTGTAGTGTATAGTGCAGTGTATAGTAGTATAGTGTAGTATACTAGTACAGCACACCGGTGTGTTGGAGTGCCAAGCCACAACATTCAGAATCTGAGTACGACGTTTCGCCAGTAATTACAACCAGCTTCATCAGGCGACAGACAGATTTGTGGAGAAGTCCACCTGCTTCGTTCCTTACGTAAAGCCGTAGATGTGGTGACCACGCTTCTGCGCTCTTACGCAATGATAGGGGGTGACTAAGTCAACGTACATTATTGCACGTGCATTATGAGAGCCCTTTGAACTTGTCCTTCCACCGGTGTGTTGGAGAGCCAAGCCACAACATTTACAAATGTAAATGACAAGCCTAGTTGGCTGTGTCGGGTGGTGGCGGGTTTTAACGACATATTTACGCGATCTAACCCAAAACAACCTCTATTATGAATGATATTAGTCGCGAGAGCCTACGTGTTAAACTGGTTGTATAACTGTTCATAATAGTTGTATTTGTATTAACCAATACAATAGCCACGTGAACTTTATCAACAAACTTTCGTATAAATGATTCCTTTCAAGGTTTATTCATTAGTAAGCCAAAGTACGATATGTATTTCTGTACAGTACTTGCATTTAATTGTCTTTATATTCCTGATGAGTGTTTTTTTATTGTGTGCTGACACATGGCCATGAACTCCATTTTCTAGATAGACGTCATCGATTACCCCCCTTCCCCAGTGTGGCAATGAAGGCGCTGACTGATGGGTGGATGGCTATCAGCACACAATGCTGATTACCGCCGGGCTGAAGCTCACGTGGGCGTTGTTATTGTGACAGCTATGAAACGGGAGGCCCCCCCACCACCACCACGTTGTATGGAGGACGTCGTCGAGTAAGTAAACACGCCAGGGGGTGGTGTAAAGTTCACCGCCGGCACTTGCAGAGTGTCTGGGGATGGGGGGGAAGCACCCATGAAGGCACACACGGTCATCAAACTTTAGCCCTCACCCTAACACCACGGGTGGGGATGAAATGGGGTTTTCTTTCATTACTGAACAAAATACCGACAGAGGCTCCCTACCTACTGCGTGGTCGCACTTACAGAGAAGAGTCTCGCTCGCGCAGTGAGCAGAGCGACACCGCTGTTGGGGTGGAGGAGGAGGGCTGCTGCCCGT